TGTTGTTGTTCTAGACAGCTCCGTTGTCTCAGTCCCTGTTTTCTGGGCTTGATCTTGTTGGGTATTGGATTGGTGTCAGTCCTTCTGGCATGTGAACAAATTTTCTGTGTGTTCCTAATACTTGAAGTTTATTAATATTACCATCATCCTGATATTGATGCTAATATTATAGCTTTATAGATGCAAGTAATTCTCAGAATATGCTTAGTGTTGTGCTAACAAATATGAAAAGGCAGCTCAGAGTGATAAGAGCTTGAATTATGAAACGAAGGAGGGTGAAAGAAGGGAATGGAAAGAAAATAACAGCTCATGAAAGCAAGTGGGTGGCTAATGAGCTGATAGGGCCACTGTATATAAGCTCTTTACTTACTGGAAATCTCTTTCTCCTTTCTGCAAAATTCCTGAAGCTTAACCTGCATGACTGTTTGACATAAACTTTGCATTTAGATATTAAAGAAGTTAAAATAGGGAGGTGTTTCATTTTTTATTCCAAATGCTGCTGTTACTCTTTACTAGCGTATGTCTAAGTATTTTGAATGGTAGTCATCTAACAGTTTGATTCAGTGATTAAGTTCAGTGCTTAAAATGTGTGTTCACAGCAACTGCTTTTCTCTGGAAGTTACAAATCCTTCAGAAGTTCATAGTTTTACCCTGTTTTGATTTCTGCTTCAGGACTTGGGATCTTGATGTACGCCTGGGTTTTGATCTCTGTAAAGAGGAGAGAGAATTTTTAGACAAAAGGAAGAAAATAGTCTCCGAGGCCCTGAAGAAGGCACTTAACTTAAAAGAATTCCCTGCAAAAGATGAGGTATTGAGCCCAATACTTTAGAGAGACTTGCAAAACTTGAGACTAGAGAGACTTGGTTGATAACCAGTTAAACATTTTAGTATTCTCTATGTGTAACCAAAATAACTGTCCCTAAGCATGAAACGTACTCAGCATGACCCGAGAAGCCTGCTGCAACATATTTCTTAAATTTTGAGCTGCTTGAATTTTTTTTTCAAAAAAAAATTGAAGTTTCAGGATGTACATTTGTATTTCCCAGAAGTTGAGTTACTGTGTCTGGGGCCTGAACTCTGAACCAAGCAGGTGAAGTTACTTTCTGAATAGTTAAGTTGAAGTTCATTCCACAAGAGCAGAATCTAATTGATTATTTGAGGACACTGCGTTGTTCCTAGGTAGCCTTATATCTTGCCCTGTGAGCTTTAGGTGGTGCTGTTTTGAGAATGATTTTTTTTTTTTTTTCTTTCTTGGTTCCAATGAGTGTACTCTATGGCACGCAATTAAATGCACGGGATAATTGAATGTCTAGGATAACAATTTCAATGAGAACCTTTCCTGTGACCATGCTGCTGTATTATAAAAAGCAGCATATTTCAATAAAAATATAGTGAAATGAGTGCTGCCTGGAATCAAACCTCAGGTTATGTGGATAGAAATAATATTTTTCTGCTTCTTTATGTAAGAATGAGTCTAAAAGAGGATTAGTTCTGTAGCTTCTTGGGGAGTTAGGCGTCTCTGCTGGTTGTTCCTGTGTTTGCTGCCCGCAGGTTCCAGTCGTGGCGGTGCTGGGGTCCGGGGGCGGCATGAGGGCGCTGACCTCGTTCTACGGCAGCCTGGCAGCCCTGCGGCAGCTGGGCCTTCTCGATGCCGTCACGTATCTGAGCGGCATTTCTGGCTCCACTTGGTAAGCTGCACTCAGTCTGGATTCCAGGAGGTTATAGGCAAATATGGCGATGTTCATGCAAGAACACGACCAAAACTGCATTTATGCTGTATATAGACAGTGAAGCGTTTTGCTTGTTCTCACCTGTGAATTCAGCTGAGGATCTCAGATATTCACTGCCACTTCTTAGCCCTACAGCTGTTGGCAAAGTTTATGCATATGCTGCTTTTGCAATTCTGGCAATTGAATTCCTGGAGCTTATTACATGAATAAAGCTGCTATGTGATGCCTGTAAGCTAATTTCAAGTACATTCCACATTTCCTAGCCGTTTCCAAGAAAATAAACAAGGGTCATGTAAGTCACTGTAAACAAGTCTGTGCAGGCAGCTGTCTCACTGCCTTCCAAAATGTTGTGTGCAGCTGGATGGAGGAATCATTCTTTGCACCAGCATACGCAGGCTGGAGCAATGCGTTGCCATGTCAGGCATGGCCAGAGCATTTCAGCAACTCAACTCTCGGAGTGGTTAAAATCATTCTTTGCACTAGCATATGTTGTTTTTGTGATGTGCAACCTGACAGTGTCATCCTCACTTCTGGAGCTTTGCCTGTTAATCCATCTCCTACGTATGGAGTCCTTCTAACCTGCTGCCAGCCTTGTGATCTGGCTGTCCCTTTTGATTCAAAGCCACACTTTCAAACAAACTTTGTCAGCTGTTCATGAGGACAGCAAGTCTTCAAAGTAGTGTTTCTCATTTAAGTAGACCTCTGTTCTCATGAGGCTATAGCCCTCATCACTGTATGCAGTAGCATCCTTGTTGTCTGCTTACCTTTGGGGTTATTGGTACCTGGAGTTTGATGAACCAGCTCATATGAGCTATCATATGATGTTTGGAGCATCCTTGAAAGGTCGGCTTGCCTCCAGGGTGAGGCTGTCTTATGGATCTCGAGCTTTCTCCCACATTTTAGAATTCGGAGATCCGTTATTAAAGCCCCTGTATTCTCTACAGTGTTTTATCTTGGAGCCGGGTTTCTCAAAGTTTTAGTTCACTGTTGCAGAAGTTAATAATATCCAGTTAGAATTCAGTGCTTACACAGATGTTAATACTGATGATCTTAATGTAATATTTTCAGGTGTTTATCTACATTGTATCAAGATCCTGACTGGTCACAGAAGGACCTTCAAGAGGCAATCAGCAGAGCTCAAGATACTGTGTCTAGCAGCAAAGGAGGGGCATTTTCCCCTGAGCGTCTGAAATACTATTTCCAGGAGCTGAATGCAATGGAGAGTAGCGGACGGAAAGTTTCCTTCACGGATTTGTGGGGCCTTATTGTGGAGTACTTCCTGCAGCAGAAGGTAAAGGAGTTCACATTTGGATGAGTACTGCTGTTTGCCTTCCAGGTGGGAGCTCTGCATACTCACATGTTGTATGTCCAGCTTTGTGAACTGTTCTAGAAGGGAACGTATTACTGAATGTACAATGAGTTCTCACCAATTTTGGTTTCCCAATACTCTTCTCGAGGAAAGCATCTTGAAGTCTTCCTGAGCTCTTGAAAAGAGCTATGTAAAGAATCCAACAACTAAGTACTTATTTTGAATGACCGTTAAAAACAAATAGCTTTTGTACTGGGTGGGTTAAACCTTGAGAAAATGAGATGTTATTTTTGTAAAACTGTATTGCCGTTATGTTAGTTGAGATCAGTACTTGGAGAAGTGACTAGCTTGTTAGTAACATCTGACATTCCTAATAAACAACTGCAGAAATATTCTGTCAGAATGTAACCATCTACATGGACAGAGGGAGGAAAAGGGACTTTGAATTGGCAGCACTGTTACAGTTGGAGATGCTAAGATGAGCCTCAGAATATCGGAGCATAGGGACAGCATTTGTCTCATGCAGTGTGCTTTTCCTTCCTTATTGGAACCAGGAAGACCCATCAAAGCTCTCTGATCAGCAAGAAGCAGTGAAGTGGGCCCAGAACCCCTATCCCATCTATGCAGCTGTCAATGTGAGACCCAATATGAGCAGTAGTGACTTTGCAGGTATGAACATGGCGGGCTTTGTATTATTGTTTTATTATTATTATTTTATTATTATTATTTTAATTATTATTATTATTATTATTTTATTATTTAAAAAATATAAATTTGTTTCACCTATGTATTTTCAGTACCCTTTTGTTGAAACACAGTACTTGATGAACAAGTAGCTGACAAAAGGAAATTTGGCTTAAGTAACAGATGGTTTGCACAAAAGTAATCAGACACTGATTGGTGCAGTGTTAGTATCTTGATCTGCAAATGCTTTCATCATATCTGTAAGTTTATAGCTTGGCCACTCTACATGCTTTCCTTTCCCTGAAAGGAAAGTTCTTTATAAAAAATCTTTGTGTGAGTGAGAATTAAAATGTTTGGTCATTCAGTGTTGACATTCAAATAGTTAGGATCTTACATGTGTAGTTCCAGATACGTGATTTGTGTAGGATTCAGATAAAATGATGCCTTGGTAACCTTGCGGCAAGTATCATCAAAACTGTGGTGTGTAGCAGTCTGGGTTTGTGCTGATTGTCCAACTGAAGTACAAAGTGAAGACTTCTGTTCCAGGACACTTGAAGTCTTAAGTATGAGGTGACAAGTGATGATAGATATAGTGAAAACACAAACTGTTATGTCTATTTATGTACCACTTCTTGTTTTTTCCTTTTATTTTGGAGGGTGGGTGTGTATGTTCAAGGAACAAGAATTTTAAAGCAGAACTGGAATATGATCAGTAAATATTTGTGGAAAGCTTTCAAGCATGAGGGGGCATTTCAAAAAGCAAATAATAAAGGCTGCCAACAGGTCAAGTGAAATGTAAAATCAATAGTGTAATGGTTGTTGAGAGATAAGTAGTGTCATGAAAAGCTTTGAGAAGTGAAGTAGGTTTTTGTTTTTGATGTGATGGAAAAGGAAGCCATCAGAATGGTTGAAAGTGGAGGCGAAATAAGCAGGCAGGTGAAAAAGTGGCAGGAAAATCCATAGTGATAATGAAAAGTTGAGACTTTCTTTTTTGTTAGCCTTGTGTGAAATCACATGAGTATTCACACCTACATGTACTCTGAGGTAAATAAAGTTCTACTTATCTTTTGGCTCATTCTTAGAATGGTGTGAGTTCACTCCCTATGAAGTTGGGTTTCGCAAATATGGAGCCTTTATCCGAACAGAAGACTTTGACAGTGAGTTCTTCATGGGACGACTCATCCAAAAACGTCCAGAGCCCAGGATTTGTTTTCTGCAAGGTATGATCATACAGTGGTGAATGAAAGAGGGAAAATGAAAAGGAGTAATTACTGCCTTTGGGATTCATCAACTTAAATCTCTGCATTCTTGCAGAGAAGATCCTTTCATAAAGAATGTGAAGGGGAAAAAATCCAAACCTTTCTCTAAAGGTTTAGATGCAATTTTATAGTATTATAGATGGATATTCTCAATCTCAGGCTTTAATGATGTCTAGTCCTTACTAATGTACAAAAGTCCAATGAGTGTGACAAGACTGACTCCAAAAACTAGTGCTTATGTTTTTATTATATTTGCAGGAGTTTTAAGTCAGCATTACTTGTGCATCATCCCATTCCATTCAGTTCTAATGGTGCTCACAGGGCTTAGGCTGTCCAATGTAGCATGCTGCTTCATTGTACATTATTAAGGTCTTTGCTCTTTATTCTTCACTGTCTGAAGTGTGTTTATTTATTTATTTTTTTTTTAATGATGATTTCTGCTTAACTTACACAAGGATAAGCTAACAAAAGATATTGGTAAAAAGACTGCTTAAGATTTTGGGAGAAGAATACTTTATAGGACCCGAACAGAAATAAGTTTAAGAGGGTGACTTTAGTGTTCAGTGTGAAGCTGAAACCAGTCAGATGTTGCTGAACAGAACATATGTGCCCACTTGAGATCCTTTCCCTCTACAATGATAAATTGCAGTACATTAAAATCAAGAAGGTTGGGGAAGGCTGTTGTTAACTTTAGAGTCCAGACAAATCATCCTGTGCTTAAAAATAGCTCTGCTTGAGGTAGCGTTGTTTTCAGTTAAACCTGATCTCAGAATGATGCTTAAGGTCTTTTGGTACTTACCTAAATACTTGTCCATAAGTGTGCTGTGGTTACCATATTAGATGTTAGTCTCTATGGCAGCCTAAAACTAGGGCCTTGGTTATGCCCTAGCAACAAATCAGTTCAAACATGCTGTGTTTTTAGTTTTTTTTTTTTCCATTCCCTTGCTGATAGAAGAAGCTACCTTTTGTGTAGATGTTTATGCATTAGATTATTGCATCAAAAGGTATCCCTTGACCTACTCAATGTATAAACCTCAACATCACCTGGAAGAATAGAATAGCTACAAGTGGCAGTGGAGTTGCAGGACTTCCGCTGCACTGGTTGTGACAAGCCTTCTGAGAATTAAATTCTGTATTTCCCCTGTAGGAATGTGGGGCAGTGCCTTTGCTGCAAGCTTGGATGATATCTGCCTCAAGGTGGTTGGTATAGGCCTGGGCTTTCTAGATTCTTTTAAAGATGTCATCAAAGTTGTAGGTAAGAACCTCCTTTTAAACAACTGGCTTTCAAGAACTTTCTGTGTTTAGAAGGGTTGTGTAAGTAACATGGCATCAGAATGTGCTGTGTAATTTTTAAGACTACCATGAAGAATCATTTTAGATAGCTCTTGTGTTGTCTATCCTTTCTTCTCATATATCTAGTGAGGAGGGTAATTGTCACTGTTCAGTACATTTTCTCTTCCTCTTTATTAATTTTGTGTCTTTGATGGCTAGGCTATGAACTTGAGATAGCTCTGGGAGTCATGTTTTGATCAGAAACTGCAGTTCTGGGGTCTCCCTTGTGACAAAAGAAAAAGAAAAGCTGGACTGCTAATGATGAGGTGAAAAATAGAGTTTCAGTTCCATTGTTCATCCAGATTTGCAATCTCATCCAGAATTAATCCAGAATTTGTTCTCCACTTGTGTGGTGCCCCAGTAGCAGTGAAAGGGAAATGTATGAAAAACTGTTGCACCTAAGTCTCACCTCCTAGTAAGCTGTTGGGGGAGATTTTATTTTCCTCTGCTTTTGCAGCCTTACATGTGTGTTTTGTTTCCCCCTTCCCCAGCACTTCTGTTGCAACTTTAAATGCTGCTGTAAGGAGTGTTGCTGCCTAATATCTTTATATGAAACAGAAGGGATGTTGTCATTTGATTAGAGGAGTGTCATTGTGTGGGATTGGAATTAATATGAATAGTGATTATTAGTAATGCTGTTCATTTTAAGTAGGGCACATAAATTATCCCACTATAAAATGTGCAACTGTTTTAAATGTCATTATAATACCTTTTTATAATGTCCAAATGATTTGAGGAAAAAAATCAGCCATAGGCCAACTGGTTGAACTTGCGAGTGGGGAAGAATCCATTTAAAATGCTTAAGCCGGATTATCATTTGTATTCTGTCCCCTTCCTTGGCCTCTATAGACGACTGCCGAAGATTCCATTTTCGTGATCCAACACGGCTGAAAACCCGCCTGGTCATACCCGGCGGCCCCTTGTTGCAAATGTTCCAGGATTTCTTCACATCCCGGGTCACATGTGGAGAAACCTTCAACTTCATGCAGGGATTGTATCTTCATAAAGATTACGTCAATGTGAAGAAGTTTGTAGCTTGGAGAGGTGAGTCTGTATCTGGAATATAAAATAGCATTAATATTCTGCAATAGGCAGGGTTGTAGAGCATGTATAAACTAGGCTTTGTTCTACTGAAGTTTGTAAATTTGCAGCTTTTCAAACCATAGCACAGAATTTGATCTACTATGTATCTTCTGTCTTATGAGGCAATCTCATCAGATTTTATAGGCCTGTAATCTGCTTTGCTTTCTGAATAATGAATGATCTATGTGTGTTGGTATAATCTCTTTTTTATAGCCCCCACATAGGATTCATTTGCTCCTTATAAGTAGAAGCATGTATTGAAGCACTGTAGTTACTTGCGTTATTTGGAGTGTCTTCCAGGCACTCATCTGGATGCATTTCCCAACCAGCTGACCCCCATGGAGGAGAGCCTGTATTTGGTGGATGGTGGTTTTTCTATCAACTCTCCATTTCCTTTGGTTCTTCAACCAGAAAGGGATGTGGATGTCATCTTGTCATTCAACTTTTCCTGGGAAGCTCCTTTTGAGGTGAGACATATAGCTGGGGATTATTAAATGAGGCACAGAATCATACTCATAATGACAATAGATCTGCTGTGATGTTGAATACACACCTATTCTAGAGAAAGTGTATTAAAATAAACTTATGTCTTTAAAATAGTTGTTGTACCATGCTTTCTATTGTGAATGTCATATGAGATTGAATGCGAGTAGTGTAATACTATTCAAAACCTTGACTTTGGAAGCCTAACTAGATCATGCTACCTAAAACAAGAATCTCTTTACCTCATTAGATCCTGGTAACATAACTGCACTTTTTAAATTAAAAGTGACTTTTGATAACTTCCTTTATGTAAGCAAGTTATTTCTTGTATTTACAAGTTCTTTATTTTTAAATATAGGTAAGTCAAGCTCAATGTATTTAGAGAAGCAAAACAAATGTTTCAGCTGGAAACTGACGATGTTTGGCAGCAGTGTTCCTCAGTTTTTACTCTTCATTCTTCTCTAACCAGAGTGGTTGTGGGTTTTTTCTTTGTCTAGGAGGAGGATGTATATTTTTGTGTGTATGTGTTATTAAAAAAAATCATTTTGAGGGTAATAATTGAGGAATTTGAGGAATAATTTCATTTGAGGATTGTAGCTAGGTAACCTTAGAGGTGTTGTTGATGGTCAATTAAACATATTTTTGCTTAATAACAGGTTTTAGAACTGACCCAGGAATATTGCAAGGAGCAGGAAATTCCTTTTCCAAAAATCCAATTGAGTGATGAAGACAAAAAGAAGCCAAAAGAGTGTTACATGTTTGTGGATGATAAGAATCCAAAGGCTCCCATTGTGCTTCATTTCCCGCTGGTGAACGACACCTTCCAGAAGTACAGAGCTCCAGGTAGGGGAACTGTTTGGTAAAAGTGCTGTGTTAAAATCTTCTGGGTATATTGACTGGGGAAATTTTGAGCACACTCAGTGTTCCTCATGTCCTCCTCCCTATTAGCATTCCCCTATAAATTATTAAATCATTACTTTTATTTAAGACAAATCAACCTCCATCATTTTGGGGGAAGAAGGAGTGGGAGAAGTAGTGGGAAATTGAAAGACTTCAGAACTGGAAGAATCAAAATAGGCAATATTTTGCTTCCTTCTGAACCCATTTCTGCCATGAGAGTTGTGTTTTTTTTTTTTTTCCCTCTCTCCTGATCCTCCTAAGGATAGGAGAGTGCTGTAAATCAGAGATTAATTCCTAAATTGATATGTTTACTAGGATATGAATAAACCATTACACAGCAAAGCACTGGGGGCTCCATATTTATGCCAGATCACATAGCACAGTACTAAGGGGTCTGTGCCCTTAACAGTGTAAGGTCGAGTGATGAGGAAAACAATCATTGCTTCAGTTAACATGATTAATATAGGGTGTTAGGCCCACTTCTGTTAGACCAGAATACTAGATTGGGCTATAGAGTCGTATCTGCAGAGAAAATTCAATGTCCCATTAGTCCCATGCTGGGAGAAAACAGCAGCCTGAAGAAAACCCTTGAGACACAGACAAGCACGTGCAGGACTGTTCCACACAGGTGAGATGTAAGGTACGCTGTTTGATGGTAATGGTATTTAACACTTAAGGCACTGACAGGTTCTGACTCCCTTTTTTTGATGTGAAGTTATAGCTCGAGACAGTGAGTTCTATAATAGCAACAAGCAAAATGACTTTAATAGGGAATTTTCAATTAGTTACAATTAAAAGCATGAAGAGGTTAAGATGTTCTCTTTAATATGCTAACTGAAGTCAGCTGAACTCAGAGTGCTAAAGTATCTTAAAATATCTTTTATTTTAGTGTAGGACAGTACTTCTAGGAAGAATTCATTTTTGTATTTCCTATTTTGAGTGTGATTAATCATGAACGCTCTGAAGGATTTATCACACTGAAAATGTTATTTAAACTTTAACACACAGGACTAGTGGAAACAGAAAGAGGAATAATACTTAATCTTCAGTTTCCAAGCACTTTAGAAGCTGAGATCTCTGAAGGGGAGCTGCAGGGAAACAGCTAAAGTTCAAGAGTTAGCTGTGATATCCTCTTTGCAGAAGCTAACTTCAGTGGCAGTCTGAAGTGTGTTTTTATTTATTTATTTTTTATTGCTACAGGAGTTAAATGTGAGTCAGAAGATGAGAAATCCTTTGGTGACTTTGTCATTGAGACAAAGGATTCTCCTTACCGTACACTGAATTTCACCTTCGAGCCATATGATTTCAACAGGCTGGTTGAAGTGAATCGCTACAATGTACTGAACAGCAAGGACACTCTCTTGAAAATCCTAAATCTGGCTCTGCAAAGGAAAAAGCTGAAGAAAGTCCTTAACACATGACTGGCTTCCTAGCTTAGGATCCAGGCTGTCTGCAATATACCAAAGCTGTGTGACTCAAGCCAAGATGTTGAAAACTAAAACCTGGAAACTCTTCTGGGAATTTGTCTGCATATGACACTGAAAATTCACTCCAGATAGGTTTTTGCAAAAGCATCACTTAAGGGCTAACAGTGCAGCACTGATATTAGCATGTTTAAAAAAAAAAGAAAAAAAAAAGAGAGAGAGAGCAGAGAATGATCTATCCCAGTATCTCATATTACAGTGACTGAGTGGCTAGGGAGGACTATGCAAGTGTCTAGAGATAATCTCCCAAACTCCAGTGATCAGAGAACGAAGGACCTCTTTTGTCAAAAATGGTGGTAACACTTGAGGAAACGCTGATTTCTTCCATAGCTTTGTCTGTCTTGCTTTTTGAACCTCTGTGATCATTTACATTACTTGTCAAGGAATTGCACAGACTACAATTATGCATTAAGAGAGTAAATGCCTCCTTTTACTTTCAACTTGCTACTTGCTTTTGTCCAAATACTTAAAAGACTGAATGGTCATTACTTATTTGGCCTAAAAAAAATAAATAAAAAATAAAAAATAAAAAAGGTGGGGGCAAGTCATGGTTTTAAAGAGCTCTATAATATATTTTCCACTTTCGCTAAGGATGTCTTTTAGTCTTTAAAAGTTCAATACAAAGTAACTTTCTTGGTAAAACAGTAGTTCCTTTTTCATATATAGGAACTAAAGACATGTCAAGGGATAATTGTTTCTTCTTACAACTCACTCATCACAAGCTGATGAAATGCTATTAGTCCCACAGTTTTTCATTCCCTGTGAAGAGGAAGGGAGAGTCTGAATTAGATTTAAGCTTGCAATTCAGCCAGATCATTGTTTAAGGAATGATTTTTTGCTGTTTCTGTATATATATATTTTAGAAACACTTATGTTCAACATAGGTGCACCTTATAAATGTGAATGAATAAAATGTCAGATGCTGCCATGTTGTGAGTCAGAATTTACCTCACTTTGCAGGAAGCTTGGAGGAAAGGACTCTGTTCTACAGGTGGAAGGTACCTAATAGGTATAAGGGCATGTGTGTGCCTGTTTGTTTTTTTTTGTCATAAGCAGGCACTGTTTACTTATGTAACTTCAACACAGACCTGCATGTATGTACTTTGCATTCAAAAAATTTAAGAAGTTTGTCTCTTTTCAAAACGACATAAGGACTTATGACCAGATACACTTCTTGAATGGAAACTTGTTGTATTTTAATAAAAATTTTGATAATGTGCTTTTTACAATATTTCTCGGACTTGTCTTAATATTTTTTCCTATTTTAATCAAAGGTAAGCAAAAAAAAATCATTGTAATATTATAGTGCATAGTTTATTTTATTAGCACTTAGAAGTCAGTGCAAGTGATAAGTGACATGTAACTTCCAAATTCATCTTGGACTGGTTATAAGACATCAGTAAAGCAGTCACCTTTTCATTGTGACACTGCCCTGTTTTGAAGAACTGTGACTCAAATACTTTTTTTTTAATATTTGAAACAGTGACTTTATGGGTAGTTAAATTCCTAGATTTGTCTATTTGTCCTTGGTTTTCCTTTCAGCTGAAATAGGAGAAAGAACAAATTAATGTTAAAATTTTTCTTTATATCTGATGCTGGATACCTGTTTCCTTTGTTCGATTGGATATTTCGTACTTGATTTTAGCAATGTTTTAAAGCATGAGAAGACTGAATTTTCTTTTGTATGTTTTTCCATACAGGATGTTCAGGTGTTCTTGCTTCAGGCTTTTTTTCAGCATACAATTATGCTGGGCCTTTGAACATATATGGTACAATGGGCAGTTTCCTTTGTTCCTCCTGAATCTGAATTGAACTTCATGGTTTGATTACTTGCAGAATCTTGCTCAAGTTTCTGAGTTTTCTTGCTCAAGTGTCCTGATAGGAAATGCTTGGACGCTATGGAGGCAGACATGTACATGCATGCTATAAGATTGCTGTGCAACGGAGGAAAAAACTTCAAGTATCTTAACTCATTCAGCAGCCTTAATGAAGGGAAATTGGAGCATTTGAATAATCTTATCTTCAGGCTAATCCTGTGGAAAAAAGTAGGGTTTCTTATTCTGCTTTAGGAAGAAAGTACACAGAGAGAATTGTGGTTGCCACCTGTTATCCCCAGAGTGTTACCTGGGCTCTTTTCAGTTTCTCTTATCCCTCCTCTCTTCTGTCCTTTGGACTCTCTCTAATCTCCCAACAAAACCTGTACTTTGTGTAGTACCTACTATGGCCCAGTGTGGCCTCTGTCACTGCCGCTGCAACACTAATATATTGAAGGCAACTGCTAGTTTAGCTGATTTACTTCAGCTCCTGTGACTAGGCTGTTGAGGAGCTGGATATAGGATTTAGATCCTGGCAGCACCATCTTGTTCCTCTATGAACAGCCTTTTATCTCTCAGCCTTTCTCCTTCCTTTGCAAATCCCTAGCTCTAAACCAGACTGGAGAAGAAGCCCAGAGGCTGGCAGCGCTGTCAGGAGCCCGGGCCTGGCAGGCACCTGCTGGCACCAACAGACCCCTGTGGCCGTTGGCCCGGGGCTGCCGTTGCTGTCCCTCGAGGACAGTGGCCTCGGGCTGGGAAACTCCTGAACCCGGCGGCCACGCAGAGCCACCAGCCCTGTTGGGGTTGCAGGTTGAGGCCTGCCCTGGTAAGGCTCTTGTGTGGACTGCGTCTGCGAGGGACAGGGGGCCGCCATGGCAGCAGCACAAGGAGGGGAAGAGCTTGTGGTGTCCTGTGGTGGCTGAGGGGGCGTCAGTTGCCTTGTGGGGATCGGCTGTGTCTGTGTATATGTATACATTTTTCCTTTCCTTTTCTTTTCTTTTCTTTTTTCTTTTTTCTTTTTTTTTTTTTTTTCAATGCAAGACTTTGCTCTGTGGTGGACTACTGGTAATTCCAGTTCTTTACTCTGAACTTTCATGAACTTGACTTTACCATCTGTGTAAGTGATAAGCCTTTAACTGAAGTTAGATTTACAGAACAATTTACATGCAAGACTGATAATGGCTATTCAGAAACTGTGTTTTTTCTCTTTACTACAATAAGCTTTTGTAACCTTCCGTAAAATAGTTTTTAAAGCATGGAGAGCAAACAAGGGAATAAAGTAACAGAATAACGCATATCGTTGTGATAACCCAAGCAAAGCATGGCAGGCAGTCAGGACTTGAGGGTGGAGTGCTGAACTGTTGCTTTTTCTGTGGGAAACCACAGGTGATGATTTGCAAGTAGGGCTTGGCACCCGCTCCTCAAGTCATGGGTTTCTAGAGGGCGAGGAACGAAGCAGTGATCCAATCTGACATGTTCCATGGCGAGTTAGTGCGTATGCCTCAATTTCTCCCCCTGTTGCTTAAGTGCTCTGATAAAATGTCTATAAAAACATTCTTTATGGGTTCTATTAAATAGTATCCAAACACCTTATAATCAGAAATGCTTTTTTTTCTAGTAACTTTACTGTCTGCGGGTGAGGAGCTGAGATACATGTTTTGTAAATGAGGACAGGTCCACAAGAGTACAGCTGCAATACGCACTGTGCAGCAGTACCATGGCATCACATGGCAAAATGTTGCTTGCATCCAGGAAACAGCATGTTTGCGTTAGCATGACACCATTCAGGGCTGGCTAGCTATGAATGTAAGCAGCTGAAAGCCAAGAGAAAAGTAAATCCTGAAAAATCATCAGGGAGAATATGAAGTTTTAAGAATTATTAAGGCATTAGGGAGGTGATGTGCAAAGGGAGGTATATGTATTGAAGTGCCTCAAGATTAATGCTTTTCTTTAAATGAGGTGGTAGCAAAGTGAGGTGTCTCTGCATAGTATTAACTATTGCTTTAGTTTTTAAGTGACAGAATAGGGACAATATTTTAGGAAAATATTTTGCTGGAAGGAGCGAAGCACCTTGGTTTAAAAAAAAAAGGGGGGGGTCGGGCCGATGATGAGCAGGTAAAGCAACCGCAGCAGTTGCTGGCTGGGCACACAGCCTAAAGCTGCCTAGAGCTACAGGACGGGACCTGCAGGTGGTATGTTAAGCACAGATTTGAAAAAGCCTGCTGACATCAAGTGCCAAGTCCTGCGTTTTCTTGTGCGTTTGAAGTGCTGGGTCTGAAATCTGACTTTTCAGTACCAAGTACCTATTATTCATTAGAATATTCATTAAGCAAAAAGGAAGATTCATTTTGTTTTAATGATAGTACAATACAAGTTCAATGTTATTTTTCAAAGCTGCAAGTTCTTTTTTTTTCCTACCTTATTTCCCCGAATTTTCATATTAGTAGGAAATTTTGAAAATGTGTGATCTTTTATAGTTTTGCTCTTCAGGAAAAGATTTAAATGATTGAAAGTCATGTAACGTGTAACTCTAGGAAGCTTAGAGCACCCTAGATGGATGAATGTGTCTTCTGGAAGAGTTTGTCTGAAAATGTATACATTTCATATGTAATCTCCCAAGTGATGCTAAGTTATCAAAATACTTGCTCTGTCAAAACAGTTTTCCACATATATTAATCATATGCATGTTGGGGGTCATGCAAATGTCAGTTAATAATTTTGTGCACGTTCTGAGCTAAATCCATACAACCTTGATATATCACACTGTATCTCCACACTTCAACATAACTAAACAAAAGCAACGGAAATCTGTAAGGAAAAGAGAAAGCCTGCAGTAAGTATGTAAGTAGAAAGTACATGTGAAATAGCTCAGTTCTGAGACAAGGATGAGGATGTTCATTTTGTTCATAATATTCACTCCAGGAATCTCAATCATTTTTCTCAAGTGCTGAGATTTATAGCACTCTTTAAAAGGCAGATTCGTACTGAATTTCCGTCTTGGGCTATTTGTTGTTTCAGAAGGAAACACATCCTTACTACAGTCTCACAGTGAAGATTCTCAAAGCAAGAAACATCCATGGCCTGGATCTCCGTAAGTCTTTGATCCAAGCTGCGCTCATTTGTGTTCTTGTTCTGCAGACAGCCAGTCTCCACTTCTGTGGCATGTGTTTGGGCTACTAAAGCAGTCATTCAAAAGTTTGGTTCTAAGCTGTTTCGAGACTCATGAGCAGAAGAAAAATGTCATTTTAAAGCTTTTCATGAAATGTGGAAAACTCATTTCTATTCAGAAATTAATAGCCACAAAAATGGCAAGGTGAGAACTGTGGCTTCTGTTCGTGAGAACAAGATAAAGGTCTATTTAATTCACTTGTGCCAGAGAATGCAATTGATTCACACTGGGAGCACAAGCCCCTCACTTCATTGTGGCAGAATCACTTTTTAGAAAAGCTTTAAAAACTGTTTTGATATGAATTAAGTGAATTAACTTGTAACTTCAGGCTTTAACAACTCTATCTCGCAGTTATGATTGCCCCTAACAAAAAAACAAGCATCCAAACTGCACCTTCAGGACCCTGTCTTTGCATAAGCAACCACCCTAATGTGGGGGCCTCTGCAAAGGATCTGTTGAAATTAATAAGAATATGGGTTTATTTTTTCCGTGGATGACTTTTTGAAAGCAATTCAGGTGAGGGAAATGGTAGCTTTTCTATGACTTTATCTGAAGCCTCTTTTCAGGTATTGGGCTTAGCTGATAAGATTGTTGTCATCAACAAACCTGGTATTGATACTACTGTATAAGTAAAATTCATTTTTAATGCTTTTTAATTTAAATAGAATTTAGAATATTCTAATATGCAAAATTCTGTTGTGTATGTCCAAAGATTGAAATGCTGAGGCAATGATGTAATCTTGCTAATGGGATATGATAAGTTATAAAGAAAGCAGTGACCTAATACAGTAAAAACTGCTCGTTGTTTGTCTTCCTTGCAGTGTCCAAGGCAAACTGCTACGTGGCAGTGGATCTTCCAACCGCATCTCCGGTCACTTCTCGAACAAGCCTTGTTTATAACTGCAGTGATCCAGAGTGGAATGAAACTTTTAACTATAAGATCCACAATGCTGTGAAGGTGTTTTTTTTTTTTTCTTTTTTCTTTTTTTTTGTAAACCGGTCAGATGCTGCATGTAACGCTTGTCTGATCTCTGTGCTAAGTCAAGTCCTTCATTGGAGGAAGGTGTGGCTAGTTCTGCTGGTTTAGCAGGCTGAGCTGGCTCAATGCAGCGCAGGACGGACAGCAGAACCAGCACCAGGGAGGGAACAGAGCCCTGTTACAGGGTGCAACAGAAGGAGGGGTCAGACCCTTGGTGGCCTTCTGGTGTAGGTTAAGCCAGCTCTATGGAGCTCAGCGTTGGTAAAGGGCTCTGTAGTCTAGAAAAAGCATGGCCTGGGAAAATGCTGGTGCAGAGGGGGGAAGGTCTTGTTCTCTTAAGAATGCTATAGTTCGTAGCAGGCCAGGCAGAGAAATTTTTGCATTTTCCTCACTGGAATTTATTTATCAGTGATACAACATTATTTATGAAGAACTAACTACTTTGCAGTGTTGCACAAAATCTTCTTCATAGTATCACTCTAGTAGATGAAAGACATGTCTGGAACTGTACCCAAAAAATCTTAAACCAAGGAAGGTCTCCACCCAATCTTCCTTCCTTTCGCAATGAAATGCTAGGTTTTTGCCAGTCTGGAAGATGCATTGGATTGTCTTGTCACTGTTTAAGAAGGACTCAATAAAACATAGTTTTAGCATGGTAAATTATACTTGAAAATAAATTAAGACCAATTATCTAGTCAGAATGCTTTCAGTTTGTGGCTATATTAGACTTTTTTTAGATCTATTTTCTATAGACTCTCAAGTTTTCTCCCATTACAGAATATCATGGAGTTCACCTTCTATGATGCAAACGTTGTGCTGAGAAGTCATGCTGCCTCCATTACTTTTGATGTGGCAAATATTGCACCAGGCCAGACTTTTAATCACACATTCGTGCTCAGTCACCAGGTGAGAATCTTCACCTGGTTTCTTAATAGTGAGCAAGGTAGAAAGCAATGTATAATCAGAACATGATATTGATATGACACAGCTATGACAAGGCAAATGGAATCCAGAGGTATATGAGACTGAGATATATTTCCAGTGCAAGAAAGGGAATATTAATGCCACATGGACAAAGCCCTGGTGTGATCTCTTGTGTGATACATACAAGATGAACTTGTAACAAATGTATGGATGAGGAGGTAGAGGAAAGGAAAACCTGACATTTGAAAGGACCCCAGATGACTGATACTTGTCACAGCAACAATTGAAAATGGACTTATCTTTTTACGAAAACAGTCTGGATAAGAGACAAACTAAAAGGCCAGTTCAGACATGCAAGTAAATAGGTGTTAATTAACTAGGAATAAATTTAGGCAGAAAATGAGAAGAATGTTACACAGTTTTGTGGCACCTGTGAAAGACTTGACAATGGTTAGGCTAACTTAGTGTTAGGAATCTAAGCTAGAAGCTGATGAAGTGATGCAACAACTCATTATAGAATGCTATGTCAATTTTATTGAGCTATATTCCATTGGCTATGGAGTCTCATCCCTTTTACTGGAGTGAAACTTAGAGATAAATATACCTGTCTCTTTAGAGAAATCGTGAAAATTTTGGATAGCATATAAAAATATGGAGGAGGGGAAAAAATGTTCAGAGGAAAGGAGTAGTTTTGCTCGGACACTTTCATGGAGGCAAGATATTCTGACAACAACTTGAGACATGGTGGGAACATGGGTATGCATGTAAATCAAACATGACACATCTGTCAGAACTGTCTGGACAGTTGTTGGTGAAAACCCAACGTAGGTTGGATAACAAAGCCAACGTGGAGAAGTCACTGTCCAGAAAACCCAACTCCTGGTGATGTCTCAAGCTATGAAATGTGTCTTCCGGTGTTTAGATGACCCATGTGTTTATCTCTCTCTGTCTCAAGGCAAATGAGAAGAATGAAGAGTTGGATGTAGAATTTTTCTTGGGAGAAAGGTGAGGAACCTGCAAAACGCTGTTGAATATAAGGGTATTTATGACCAAAACTGCAATTCATGGTGTACTACTTAGTTTACTTCCTATACAAAAAGAATGTGCTTGTGCATCTGCCCATTCCGCTCCTTCCTTGCCAGAAGGTATAATTAAAGCACTGTTCTGGGAAAGCATGGTCCTGGCTGGCAAAGGAGCAGATCAGTGTACTCAGAAATGTCTCTTATCCATTCCATTTATATAATTCTATTTGAATATACCTAAAAAAAATTCTTCCTTTTCACATCTCTCTCTCCTGGTCAAATAACAGAAGAACTTGGTAAGTTGCACAAAATCAAGAGGCTACTTCTCTAAGCCATAGAAGATTTGCACAAAGATTTGTAAAAACAATCAAACAAAAAAACCAACCACAAACAGCCAGAATACAGCAAATTGTGAAAGAGAGGTAAGCATAGTATTGAAATTTAATCTCACTTATATTTACCCTTCATTTTCACAGCACAGATCCCCCCACTGAGGTCATCACTAATGGTGTTTTGGTGGTAAGATGTTGTTTATGCCCTAAAAGTGAATGTCTGTTGTATTGTGAAAGAGAGCGTATTGTACAGGAAGCTCTTTAGCATTGATACAGATGCCCACTCCTTTTATACCATAGCATCTTTCAAATACATAAAGAGACAGTGCCTTCTTGCAATGATTCCCAGTCCATTTTTCAACAGGATACTTGCTGTATTTATAATAATATGACATAGGTGAGACCTTGAGCTATGAGTGTAGTAACCTTATTAGCCTACTGCAAAAATAGGCTGCTATATTTAATGGAAGTGCCTTTAAATTATATTTACTATAAAGCTATTTCCTGAAAGTGTCTGAGCAAGTATCTCTAGAATGAGCTGCACCTCGGAGAAGTAGTTCTGTGTAGTTCCTGCATTAGGACATCTGGGATCTCTCTTAAAGGTCTTTTGAAAAGCTGCAAGTGTTTGCGATTGAGTGACATTCAAAAAATTATCTTAAAGAATGTGACATTGGTTAAAATTGGAAGCAAAACATGAAAATAAGAGATTGTAAAAAGGAACCTTAGGGGCAGTTGTGAGCACAGCAGTGTTACTGTTACACAGTAGGCATATACTGCAGGACCTAGGGGCAAACTGCTTGAAAACAGTATTTTTTCTCTCCTTGGGTATATCACTCAATAACTTACCATAGATAATAGTCTATGTGCAGTTGGAAAATCAACATAGCTCTATAATCAAAAGTTAAGGTCTTACAGCTCTTACTTTTAAAATAGGCTCATCCTTGCCTGTGTGTGCATGGCACTGTGGATAAAAGGGAGACAAGCCAGTGGTTAATACAGGGTAAGTCTACCCATGTCTTGTCATGCCCCATTCTCGAGCATCTGCATGTGGAACAATATGGGGGAGTCTACTTCTCTGGTTAATAAGTTGTGTCTAAGGAGCAATTGCTGCTATCGGGAGTTGTATGTTGTAGTTTTCCCTGTCTGGTTTTGCACCCTTCACTGTGTCTGAATCTCTCAGAAAACTGCCAGGTTCACCTCTCCTTGCCTGGATCCTTTGAGCACTGGTCGTCTACCTCCTGTAGTGCTGAGTCAGAGGAGAAAAGGAAGATCCCTTTTGTCTTCCATGTGGACAGAGAAATCCACCCAAACCTGCTCTTGGATCTGCTGCAAACTACACCTGTGATAGAGGTGAGAAACTGCCTCCATGTTTCAAGTTTCTGTTGGAGCCAGGTTCCTGGCTCCTGAGAGCAAGCCTGTGTCCTGAAGAACATCTCCATTGGAGACTGCGGGTAGACAAATATTGTTAGAAGCAAAAATGACCCAGGGTCAATGCAGCCCTATCATTTCTCAAAAATATGTTACTAAATTGAAACTATTTATATCAACTCCTGCAGTCTTGCATTCTACTAGTTAATGGCAGCTTTCTATTGGTAAATTGTGGTATCTATATCATGTGCACCCATTGCAAGTTGAGATGATTCGTTCTGTTGCAGGTCAAACAATTCAGCAATTTCCTGGATAAATGTATGGGAAGAGAGGATTGTTTTGCTTGAAATGAGTGGAAGTATTCTCTAACTTGAAATGAGAATGTCAGAGGTTGCATGCTCTTACAGGACACTTGCTGGAAGCTCACCAGCAACCTTGGAGTACTTTAATACCATTAATGTTGAACAGGATTTTGCTGTGATTGTGATGTGTGGCTGCAGTGGCTCAGACTTGAGTGTTATAGCTCAGCTCTAGTAGTGGCTGCACTGTTGGGGGCTCAGCAATGTTTAAGTTAGCTCATCTGAATGCGGATGAGTGGATGGCAACATGGAAGCTTGTCTGATTTAAAACAAAAAGAGGAGCTATTTTTACATGTTTAACAGTGAGCGTAGAATTAAGACTGCCACAAGTTCAGTGTTGACAAATACACTTGATGGTGTTTGTACTCTGTAATGACGGGAAGATGCTTCGGTAAGTGGTAAATGTTTGGGTCTGAATTCAATATTTTGACTTGAAGGAAGGATGGAGTGAAGACTTGAAAATGCACACTGAGCATTTAGGAATGGCATCCATACCTGTCTCCACATTTCCTCAGGGACAGGAACTGAAGTTTAGTGTTCTGGTAGGAAAGGTAAGGCTTTTTTTTTCTATGTGTAGGAGTTTTGGCAGTAAAAAATGACAATAGCTTTTTGTTTTTCCAAGTTCGCTATTGTGCTTATTATTGTATTCTGAACTGAGCCTAGAGAATGAGCAATACAGGGATTGAATCCCAGCTCATTTTCCCTCCCACTTTCTTATTTTTTTTCCTCCTCTTTCCCCAAGATGTTTTGACAAAATAATACAGCTCAGTACCAAACACAGAAACATGGCTCAGACACACAAGGGGAAAATGCATGGGTTTCTTCCTATCTCACTACTACTAGACTGAGACAAAAGCTTGGCTCTGGGCTTTTTAATACAGAACATGATGTTAAGTTGCTGAGCCTCCTATTTTCTTACAAGAAGCTATTAGGAACTTTTGTGAAACTATTTTTGTGGCGTGCTATTGCTCTTTTTCTAGGGACAAAGTGTGGATATGACTTTGAAGGTTGAAGAATGGTGAGTCAGTAAGACAGAAATTCCCGGAAAAAGTTTGGAAAACATATTCACTTCTTACAATAAATTTACTAGATTTTACAATCACTTCAGTTCAAAGTCGGGCAGAAAAAAGTTTTTGTGGAGTTGTTTCTCTTGTGAACCACTTCCACCTTACTATTTGAATGAGAGTTTAATTGAGTTATCATGTTTATTCTCACTGCAAAGAAAAGTGTTTTGACATCTTGGGATTGAGCTAAGGAATTTTTCATTACAAAAAAAAGCCCATGACAGAAAAACTGTTTCCCTACCTCCCAACCCCTTGAGAAGTGAGGAACTTTTCTAAACAGCACTGAATCCTAATTCATTTCATTGTGTAGTTATTCATTATTAGTGTAGTACATTTATATATACATAAAATTATGTTAAATATTAGATTATATAATTGTATATATACACTGATATGTAACATATATAGGTATGCATGCTAACACAATACCGTGTTACAAAATGTACTAATGTAATATTATAAAGGGTGCTGTATGCCCTGTTATGCTCCGCCTGCTTTTCTTCTTGAACACAGTTCTGAGGATCTCGATGTGCGCCTTGGTTTTAATCTCTGTAGAGGAGAACAACAATTTTTGGTCAGAAGGAAACAAAAATCTTCTAAAGCACTAAAGAAGATACTCAAGTTGTCAAAAGCGCCTTAGAAAAATGAGGTGTGTGGGTTTTTTATGTTTTTTTTTTTTTTTTTTCCTCCAAAGATATCAGAAAACAGATAATTGATTAGCCTGTAATAGGGTCCAGGGACCATAGTAGAAAAATATTATGGTACTAATGAATTTCAGCTCAATGGGAACAGACTAATAATAGAAGCCCATTGTAGGAATGTTTGGGGTTTTTCTGTATTTCTGTTTTTTGTCTTTATTTTTGTTTCTCATAAGAGAAACTGTAAAAATGAACCTCAAGCCACAATGATGCTGGATACATATAGATCACTATATACACGACGTTATTTGCACGCCATGCTTCTCCCTGTCTTTCATTGCTCTTGTCATGTAGGTCCCAACAGTGGCAGTTGTGAGTTCAGGAGGTGGGATGAGAGCCATGACTGCTTTCTATGGCCACTTGTTAGGTCTCCAGGAGCTTTCTCTGTTGGATACTTTAACATATGTGTGTGGAATTTCAGGATCCACCTGGTAGGTATTATAGAATTTAGTTTGTGATAACTCTGTTTTGATCACCCCGGTAAGTACAGCCTATTTCCTAAGATATTTGCTTTTATTGGCGAGTGTGGTTCAGTGGTAAGCCTTTATGCATCTTTCATCATTGGCAAACTTAATGGTCATGGATATTTTACAAATGTTTCTGTGTACTAAGACGTATTTAGTGAGCTACTGAAGACCTATGTTCTTTAGGAGAATGTCACATTCCCTGAAAGTCAATGTTAACTTTTAAGACAGATGAGTGATGTACAATAAAACTGAGTATGACAGTAAATTCCTTTCAACCTTTGTAAACTGCCTTCATTTTGAGCCACTGATCGCAGTAAAACAAAAAAGCTACACATTTTTTTTTCCAGTCACAGTGTAGGGAGGTTATTTGTTAGATGATTTCTATCTTGTATGCAATTCACTGAAAATCTGGCGACTGTTACGCTAGGTGCTTGTGTAAACTCTACGAAGATCCTCACTGGTCCCACAAGGATCTGCAGGAGGCCATCAGGATCGCTCGGCAATTTGTGACCAGCAGCAAGGCGAGAGCTTTTTCCGCGGAACAGCTGGTGTATTATTTCCAGCAGTTATGGTTGTTGGAGAAGGAAGGACAGAATGTCACCCTGACGGATTTGTGGGGTCTCATAATAGAATATTTTTTGCATCAAAAGGTAATGAGTTATCTGTTTGAATTCAGTCTTCAGTCTCAAAGAAAAGCTGACTGATTTTTTTTTTCAGAGATGAAACATTTGCTTTGCAAAATAAATGAATGCCTGAAATATTAACGAAAGTGGTTAATATATTAGAAGAATCATAAAATATTCCATATTTTATATATTTAAAGCTTACATAGAGGAAGAAAATCTTCATGATATGATATCTTGATACCTAGAGGGACTCTTTGTAGATCAGGCAATTATACATTGTTTTCTTTGGTTATCTTACTACTAGTAATGCCTGTGTCGTATAGAATGCACCTCTTGGCTCTGATGGCCAAAAGCTGTGTCAAAGATTAAAAAAAAAAAAAAAAAGTGGGAAAAGTCAGATTGAAACATTTCACTCTGTGATACCATTTAATTCAATTACATAGCTGTTACTCTCTGTGCTTCAGTGCACAAGTTGCCTTTTGGTGAAAATATATTCAATTCTGCATCACGAATGATATTTTACTTTTTAAATTTATAATCTGTAGCTTAAGTTAGCTGTAAAATGCAATTTAACTTTTTGTGTTTTCTGTCACTTAAGTATTCATCACTTCCTTTGACTAGTTCCTCGAAAGTTTCTCTCTTTTATGGTATGTCCAGGCAATTAAGTTCTTGGAAAATTAGCTAAAAGAAGATTTCAGAACGCACTGGCTGCTTCGCAGCGTCAGTCCTTGTGAGTGTTTTTGCCATGATAAATGGACCCACCCCATAAAAGAAGGGTAGGTTTCTTAATCTGCTTCGGGTGAAGTCACCTAGATGACATGCTTTAGCTCTCACAGAGGATTGCCCTGTGAATGTATGTTTAAGCATACCCTGAGCCTGTGACCTTTGGGTAATTAACGATCAGACACCTCAGTCCTGTGATATTTTAAGAATGATGGCGAACACAGATTTAAAAATGATATAATACATAGAAATAAGTTTTCTTGCTGTCACTAGGAGAACCCGCGGACACTATCTGACCAGCAGGCAGCTGTGAGGTGGGGACAGAACCCCTACCCCATCTATGCAGCTATCAATGTGAAGCCCAATGTGGATAGTAGCATGTTTGCAGGTATCTTCTTAAAATTTACAGATAATATTGTTTTACCTCAAGTTTAAATATCTGTTGTTCACGGGCTAAACTTACGGTGTTTCAGTATCCTAGTGTGTTGCTTTGCCAACCTATAGGGTTGAGGAGCAACAGTAATTATAAGTTTTTGTTTGTTTCTGAACATCTTAAAATCATGTCCTGATGAAATGAAAGTGGGGGAGATAGTTCCATTTAATATTTGTCAGCTTTTTGGTCCCCCAAGCCACTTTGAATCAAGCAAATTGGTGTTCAGAATAGTGATGCACTGAAACTGTCACTACTAAACTGTGCTTTGATCTGTAACAAGTAGTTGAGTACTTGCTCTTCACCGTGTTCTAACTTTCCTAGTAATATCAAAATGCAGAGTTAGTGGGAAAGTCTTGAATGACTCTGATATCTCTTTTCAAGAAGCAGAATCCACTGCCATGGAAGATACAGGCTAGGAAATATTTTCTTGTATGTTAATTAAAGAATTTAACATATGATGACAAAGAGAACATTGCTGTGGAGGTCATGAGTAGCTCATCCTCACTAAATGTTTCCCATTGTAATAGGAAAAGAGTTTAAATTTGAGATAATGATCTTGATTAACTCTTTCCCAGAATGGTGTGAGTTCACACCCTATGAGTTTGGTATTCACAAGTATGGAGCTTTTATCCGCATGGAAGACTTTGGCAGTAAATTCTTTATGGGGCTGCTACGTGAGAAACGTCCAGAACCCAGGGTTTCCTTTTTGCAAGGTAGGATGTGATTCGTGATATGCAACTACTTGATTTGGTATGAGTTAAAATAGATCTTCAAAATTGCACTTTTTCTTAACAGCTTTATGCATTGTTGCTACTAAAAGCAGCATGTGCTAATACTATTTCCAGCTTGCATAACTGAACAAGGCTCCTGTTTGCATTAGGGTATTTGGTCATCTCCAGATTTTTATCCAGAACACAATAATTCTGACAAAAGAAAGATGTGTTTGTTTTGTAGGTAAAAAACTAGTTAGTACTTGAAATTTTCTTACTTTCATGAACTTCCTTTTTTTTTCTCTTTTTTTTTCTTTTTTCTTTTTTCTTTTTTCTTCAGGAATATGGTCAAGTGCATTTGCTGCAAACCTAGAGGAAATTTGGAAAGAGGTGGTTTCATCAAAAGTTGGCTTTATAGAATCTCTGAAAGCTGCCATAGAAAGCTTACGTAAAGATTCTTAAAATCATATGGAAAAGTCATGAACTAGTCTTTTTATTCCAGCAAGTAGTCTGTTCTAATAGCATAACAGTATGCACCAAAAAAAGATATAACAAGGATTTAAGAACTGCCCATTTAATAGATAGTTCTGTTTAATTTATAGAAAATAATAGTGCAAGGTATTGCTGATGGGAAATATAGACCAATACAACTCATACTCCAAGGATATATTGCTCATTTAAGAATAAAAATGGAAAGTGGCCAATGCTGTTACTATAAAGACTTAAAAAGTCTGCATCGACTCAGCTGTAATGAAGTTGTGGATTGTAGCAATCCATGTTTTTAACATTTTAAGCTTAGATAATATCTAAGCTATGTAAGTCTCCATTGTGTCTAAACTACCAGCTGTTGGGAGTTAGGGGCAAAATGATTACAGGATTGTGAATTTGTCTCAAACCTTGTGCATTATTTTTACAGATGAGATTCATGGACATCAATATCCAGATACTTCCCACTTTGAGACTCGGATGGTTATGCCAGAAGGAGCTATTTCAAGTTTATTTCAAGATTTCTCTAAGTATCGTTTTTCCTCTGGAGAAAATGTGAACTATATGCGTGGCTTGTATCTTCACAAGGACTACCTAAAAAACAAGGAGTTTGTAGCTTGGAAGGGTATGTAACACAGTATGAGCAGAAACCAAGGGATTCGGGACAGCAAGGAAGAGCGTTTAGTTGCTATTTTTACATGTAATATCCAACAGTATCTTAATCATCCAACAGTGTTTCTATGAAATCATGAAAAACTGAAACAGAAGGGCCATAAAGAAAACTCTTCAACCATAGCCGTCATCTCAAACATGTTTCTAAAAAAAATAGTCTGTATCACTAATGTTGAGGGAGCACTGTTTGCATGAATAAAATAAGTAAAAGCACATAGAAAAAAACACATAATTCAAATTCTGTCTTAACTTATATCTATAAAAGCTTATTCACAGTGTTGTCTTCAAGTTAAAACAGAATTAGAGCATATTTCAAGTGAAAGCACCCTCATCATATTCATTATTGGAAATCAGGATATGCGAAGTGAATCCACTTTCATTAAAAGTTGGCTTTTTGTTCTTGGAGCATAAATTGATGTTTAAGTGAGCCTGACTGTCTGTGGAGAAGTCACTTAATACTTCCCCTTTAGTATTCCAGAAAGGTGTGAGGATGTAATAGTAAATGTATGAGTTACTCACATACTATGCTATTGAACATATGCACTGGAATTGTCTTAATTCAGTTTGGTGGTGCGAATGTAAGAATGTCATACTTACTTTCCCTGAACTTAGAACAAAATAATTTTGCATTCTTTCAGGTACTCAACTGGATGCACTCCCCAACCATTTAACACCTATGGAAGATAACCTATATCTGATAGATGGGAATTTTTCTATCAATTCTCCTTTTCCTTTAGTGCTTCATCAAGAACGAGACGTAGATGTCATCCTGTCTTTCAACTATTCTTGGGAAGCCCCATTTGAGGTGAGAAACAACTGAGCAGTTGCACAAAGATATGTTCTATCTGGGATATATCATATAAGAAGGAGATATACTTTTTTTCTTCTGGCTGTTTGGTGATTTCAGTTCATTTCTCAATATACACAATAAAGTAGTCTCTTCATATGGAATTGCTGTGACATTTCTTTAAAATGTCACCTGAGGGAACATTAAATAAGCAGTTTAGAAATACCTGAAGGGATCATTTCTAAGCAGACTTCTTGTGCCAGTGCTTTTGCTGTACTTGAATATGTACCAATGATCAAGTTGTATATTATATAATAGCATAAAAAAGACATTTCAAAATAACACATATCATAACAAATGTTTTTGCATCGCATTACCTATGTAATCAGTTGAATCCCTTTCTATCCTAAATGTAATTTAGGATAAGTCTGTAAACATGCAGATTATTGGCACTGTTAGACAAAGATTCAGTAGCACAAAAATATATTTTATATAGCACAAAAATCTCTTGAGCTGCAGAAAAGTTCTCTGAAAGCAGTGTCGAGTAATGTCAGTGTTAGTAAGCTGTTAGTGAGATGGCTATTAGATTTTACTAGAACTTGGGCAATGGTTGCTTTGGCACAGCCAAGAAAAATGAGCTTGTATGTACACTTATTTCACTACTATTTAAAGTGTCTGGCCTAGACTCAACCATCTTGGTGAAGATGATCTCTTTTCAACTGCCTGGGCTGTAGCAGTCACAAGACTTCAGGGTTTCTGGCACTGAGCACTTTCAGAAATAGGGATTTTACTTGGCTCTTTAGAGAACAGAAATTAATAAGAAAAATCTTTATTACCTCATTGTAGTTATTATAATATAGTAAAGAACTTTTCTTCTGAATTCAGGTACTCTATAAAACTGAGAAATACTGTGAAGAACGGGATATCCCCTTTCCACACATTGTTGTCAGTGAAAAAGATAAGCAGAACCCACAAGAGTGCTATATGTTTGTAGATGCTGAGAATCCCAAGGCTCCCATTGTACTTCACTTCCCACTAGTGAATAACACGTTCCAGAAATGCAAGGCACCAGGTAAAGGAGCCTGTCTGAGACTGTGTGATGCTACAACCACCTACAGGTGCCCAGCACCCTCTAAGGACTGGTCCTTTAGGGCTACAAAAACAAAACAGGGATTCACAAAGAGGATTGGATCTAGAGTGACAGAATATCTGTCCTTAGTGACTTAAGAAAATTTTTCCTGTGCAGCCTAAAACCATTATGTATATTATAAAAGGCACAGTTGATAAGCCCAGAGTTTGAAAAACAATTAAGTAAGAAGAGAGAGTTGACTGAGTTTCTTATGTGGTGACTAAGATATTTAACAAATAATCATTAAGATGTATAGGGAAAAAAAAGGAGCATCTGTGGTTGTGGGGGATGCATCACATATGACTGCGATTCTTAAAGATGGACAGTGTTTTCTTTGTTTCATAGGTTTTACAATCTGTTAAAAAAGAAAAGTGAGCCTAGACAACTAATGGGACATACAAGTTAAATGCTGGTAGTGCTCACTCAAATTGAGGGGGGTGGGAATTAAGCATGATTCCCAAAACTAGTCAGTATCTTAATAATTTAGTAAAGAATATATAAATTCTTATGGATGACATCAAACTGAGAGGAGCTGTGAGCAGCTTGAAGGGCAAACAATCAAAACAAAACAATTATATTAAGCTGAAGAGAGTCCAAAATCACCAAGAAGACATTCAATAAAAGCAGTGCAAAATCTATGAATGAAAAAATAAATTCGCAGGTAGAAAGTGTAATAAAAAGGAAGAAAAAACTGAGTTACAGTAGGTCAAAACTGAATATAGTTCTGCATGATGCTATTGCCAAATGCCCCATATTTGAAGTGTTACTGGGAAAGCCATATTTCAAATAAAAAAAAAAATCCTGTTAACTTGGCACTGTTAAATTCTAAGCTTGAATTTTCTTTTCTTTTTCGGCACTGTTAAATTCTAAGCTTGAATTTCCTTTTCTTTTTCTGTTGTTTAAAAAAGATTCAAAGAGGAGATGAAGAGTAAGAATAAAACAGGAGTAGAATACCCTTAAGGAAAACTTGAAGGAATTTAGCCTATCTAGGCTAAAGATAAATAGGGTGTTGCTTAAAACAAAGTTGTTCATATTGGCTGTAGATATGGGGAGCATTTTTTAAGTCTAATCTATTCCCTATGATTGGAGCGTATGGAAAAAAAAATAATAAAGATCCATTTAATCTTATTAAAAACTTGTCTGCCCATGCTAACAAATCAGAGTCCACATTTTTAGACCTGTTTGGTGCCAATAAATGGTTTTAGTAGCTGTACATACTTACCAGTAGCACATGAAGATTTATGATAAAGAAGATATATGCAGAGGAGAGAATAGCTGTGTTTTCTTATGCATGTGTTGAAACAAAGAGTATTGTCATTTGCTTTTTCTCTTGGCAGGGGTAGTCCGTGAGACAGAAGAAGAGAAATCATCTGGAAATTTTGCTGTTGATGGGGAAACATCTCCTTATTATACTATGAATTTCACTTATGAACCTGTTGAATTTGATCAGCTGCTGGAGCTGTGTCGCTACAACATTATGAACAATAAGGATGCAATTTTTAAAGCTCTTGCTTTGGGATTGAAAAGAAAAGCACAAAAGAGCAAGGGGGAATAAGGGCGTTTTGCCTTTACTGTGAGTGATTGTAGAGTGTTAGGGAAAAATATTTGATGGGAAAAGGATTTGAAAGTATCTGGTTGTTTTGCTCTGTATTTTCTCAAACGCAGGATCTGTTAGTAAATTACAGGAAGTGGATGGTTCTTGAGTATGAACAAAACTTAAATAATTACATGAAAAGATACAAGCACTCAGTGTACTAGAACAAGTGAGTTTAAAGAAGTGATGGTTTTTAGTCCACAGCTGTACATAGATGTGAACAAACCTTTAGCATGACAGTTACATGAAGTTATTTTTCTCTCTATGAAATAACATAAGGGTGGCATCAGGATGTGCCAGGATAGGTGATAGAGATATAATAACTCAAACAAGGCAGGTTTGTGCTTTCTTTAAGGCTCTGTATAGTTTAATGTTGGAGTTCTTAAGTTTGAATACATTCTAATAGGACATGAACTGAAATTTTTTTTTTTGGTGGAATCTTCATTGCTTTTGTTATACCTACTCGTTAGGTGAAAGTAGCACAGATCTGTTAACGTATGCTGAAACGACACCATTTTGCTACATAGCAACATTTTAAAAAATTGTTTGATAATTAAAGACTATATTCACCATTCTCAAAAGCTGACATCTCTCCAACCCAAATGGAGTCAATCAGCTAGAGTGTTCTTGTCAGTGCTTCATGAATCTCTGTTTTTATAGGAGTTGCATCCCGGCTATTGCTGCCTTGTAGTTGCAGTAGTCTTTTGTGGAGTTAAAATGGCCTTGAGTTTGCAGGGCAGTGGCCAGTAGGAGATTTGAAAAAGACCAAAGTCACCCTGGTTTGGTTGGAGTGCTTTTTAAATAGTACATCTTGCTTTTATAAAAATAAGATTGATCTAAATGGGAAATACAAGGATTTTGTTTCTGCTACTATAATGCTTTAAGACTTTTTTTTTTTTTTCCCTTCCCAAGGAAGAGTATGCATAGTAGAAATGGTTGAAAAGTGGGTAAAAATAGTCAGAAACACTGCATAAACTAAGAAGTGTTTTGTTATTAATTTCTTTCTGGCTTAGTGATTCATAGTGTTGTCTGTAATTAAAGCAGGTACATTATTTTGGAGTCAAACCTCCCTCCCTGCCTGTCTGTCTCCGTAATACGCTGTTCTGACAATTTCCAGGAGTGATGCCTTGAATTTCTGGTTACTGATTTCAACACTGTTTTACAAGTACTGTAATTATTCTTCTCTTAAAAAAAGGTCGGCAGTATCTTTGAGTAAGTAATTAAATCTAACGTGCAACTTTCAGCTTTAAAACAAAAATATTGTTATATAACCCCACTGGAAAACAAACAAACAAACAACAAAAAACAAGTCTTTATAAGAAGCATGTCATCGTTATTAACTTACCACACCTGACCACACAATTTTCTTTCTGCTTGACAGCAAATGAAATTAAAGCAGGCTTCTTACTGTGAGGTTTACTTCTTACTGACAAATTCTGCACCTTCAAGATACTTTCTATTTCCAGTGTCAAAAAAGTTCATGGAGGAAGTTTTCATGAGGAAGGCGGTAGGGGAGCAGCTTTGTGGTGGGTGAGACTGTATTTTATGAATGCTTTGTGAAGCATTATCTGCAGGAAGATGTAAAATTTAATGGTGCGTTGTATCTGTTGCCTTTTGAAGTTGTGGCAAAACTTGTTTTTTTGCCCTTTGTCTCACCTTTCTGTTTCTTAAAAATTATTTACTTATGTATTTGAAACTCTTGCATACACCCATGGCAGTTTTTGACAGAAATGTCTATTTTTTGCTGCAGAGAGAAAGCATGTTCTGTCTAATGGTTCTTCTGGCCTGAGAAAAGCCTGGATAAATTCCTCAGGAATGCTTCTGAGGATGGTCAGGGATATGTCAGCCAATTGCCACTCCACCACCATACCCAGGACTTCTGGAAGCATCTCCAGCTGCACAAGGAGTGTTTGCAACATGGGGGAATTTTATAGGGAAAGGTAATAGTGACCATGTAGCAGCATCAGGTTTGATGCTTGTGCAGCTTGGGTTACAATCAAGAGAGAAATCAAGATAAAAATTCTAAAGAAATTCTGCATTTTTTTTTTCTGTGAACATGTGCATTCCTCTATAAAAATTTTTTAGACTATGGCTAATCCCAACTAGAGCTGACTTATCAGAGACATAGATTGATAGAGATCTTGTGGAAATAATTGGTTAGTAGAATGAGATTTTATTACCATCCCCCAGTGGAAAATACTATAGTATGTTCTTGCTTGTTCTAAATACTGGTGAACCCACTGCTGAGATACCTCAACCAGTTAACTTTGATTAACAGGGGTCCTCTCTCTGTCCAGTGATCATGAAATTGCTAGGTTCATGATTTAACAAATTCGCTGAGATTTCTGAGACCCGTGTAAATACTTTTTACTTCTATTCCTGGTGCTGTGTGCGCTCTCTTTCCCCACAGTTAGCCTCTAGGTGTCACTCTTTGAGAGGAGAATACAACAACCGTATTTGCCCTTGATTTTTTTTTGTTTCAGCGTTTTCTCCAAGTGCTGCTTTTTGTTTGGAGGACTAACACTTCTGCCAGCCCAGAGCATTTCATTCAGATGCTCCTCCATGTGACAAACTATTTACATTCTCCCCAGTTTTGTACAGCTTAACTGCTTGGCAATCATGAGGAGGATCTGCCAGAAATGTGAAAATAATGAATCTGTGATGTCACACTGACTTCATTCAGCTCCACTTTAACCAAAATATGCTCAAGTATGATGTATAAAGATATATTTAATGTATAAAGAAAACAGGCACTTTCAAAATTGGATCAGTTTATTAGTCCAATGCACTGCTCAGGAAATTACATCGAAATGGCAAAATGCCACAATCCATTACAGTCCCACAGGAAATTATGAGCATAGCTGTGGTTTTGGGGAGCAAACCAGAGTTTGATTCGTAGGGTAAAAGGCACTTTGGGAATTCTCCGTGGTTTTTTTTTTTTTTTTCCTTTGCAAGGGAGGATCATAGGACCCACCTGAATTTGTCTGAAATATTTCCTTAAGTCCTCCTTTTATGGCACACGTCACACTGGGATAAAACTGAAAGGCAAATTACTCCAGATTAGCTGCTTCCTTTTTTGATGGGACATAGTGGTGGTACATGGCACAACTTGCCAAGAATGCCATGCTGGCATTTGGGACCAACTGCTCTTTGTAATCAGACCCAATTCTTGTCTTTCCCAGGTTTAGCAAAGGTGTGCTTATAGTTGTGTCTCTGCATATTCTTTCTGTTCAGGATTTATTTGTAAATCATGTAAGAAAAGCAAATCCACATACCTCGGTCTATTTTTTCCCCTAGTTTTAATTTCTGCAGAGACTTAGGTGTAACTGCATTTGTCCCAAGCCCTAATTCCTTCTACTTCAGAAGCTGTAATTCTTCCTTTTGTGTTCATGTCAGGCCCCTGAATATGGCTGCTAGATTAATCATCTTGCTTGTAGGGTCTGCTGACGGAAGATCCCAACCAGTCTTTCACCCATGCATAAATGGACAAGTATTTGAATAGCTAGATCGTCATTACTTGGTGTTTGTTAGTACTTAAGATTCTCCTGCACCCCTACCAGTTGCCTGCTTTACCAGTTGTATTCAGATACTTTCTAAACTAAAATGGGGTGGTGTCTGGAGCGAACTTATAGCCCTAGACAGCTAACTGAAGTGTCAGAGTGCAGGACAATACTCAGAGTTGCTGAGGAAAACTAGGCGCTTCTGAAGAGCTCTTCGGATTGTAAGTCTGCTCCCAAGGGAAGGCGTGAGCCTGTTTTTTGCCTTATCTAGTGAGGAGGACTTGGCTGCAGTTACGAGCTCAAACTCAGTTCTGCCTTTGCAAGAGAAGCTGTAGTCATTGCTGTCACTTGCATCAGCTCATCTCAGACTGGGATGAACTGCCTATGATATGACCAGAGAAGAATGAAGCAACTAACTTGTAAATGAGGCCCAACTTGGCGATGGGAGTGTGACTTTTTCTTCTTTACTCAACAAAGGCTTAAGTTGATGTGCATTAATTTGAAAGCATTATCATTGTCATAATTTTCTACTTTTAATGCCCAAATCTGTGAAAAAGAAACTTAGAGTAATTGCTCAAAACATTGTCCAAGATGCCTTGCCTTGATAGGAGGGCTGGGTAAGTCACATGCTTCCACTTGAAAAGATTGGAAGTCAGAATTTTTATGTCATAGCTTCACAAAGGGTTTTCTATCTCACTGAGAGCAAAGCTTTGAAATAAATAAAATATATATTTTTAATTTCAACTGTAATTTATCACTATTAAATAGCTGGTTTTAGTGACTTGAAAATAATAGTCAACTTCAGGTCCTATTTTAGTATGCTAACAGTAATACTAAATGCTTGGATTTGCTATCGTGTTTGGTGCTATTATAGAAAAAGTAATGTGAATTTATTCTAAAATAAGAAGTTAGTCGTGGTAATTTGAAATTCATGTTTTTATTCTGAAATATTTTCATACATAATTTGTGTTAAAATTCACCATGACTTTCTGATAACTTATCTTGAAGTAGTACTTTTACTGAAACATATTTCAATAAGAAAAGTTTTTCGTGGGTTGTTTTGCCCATAATATTCTTTATATAACATATAGTAGTATTTTATTTAAGTGTTTGCAGTTATATGTGAAAGTTAACCTCCATTTCATGGGCATAATTTGCAGAGAAGTGACAGTGAAAACCATTGCAATCTTATCTCTGTCTGTCAAAGCAACTTACGTGGCGTCACCAGAGCACAGAATTTGGAGGGCTGCAGAGGCCATAGTCATAGTAGAGAGCTGTAGTTGTGCTGTCTTTCTATCCCTCTCCAGTTTACATGAGGGGCTCAGCCTACACCTTTGTATGGGGTTACTCAAATCTGGCAGTGATGAATAGCTATTTTTGAGCTGTGTCTTTAACATGGAAGCAGCTGCTAAAAGAGCAACTTCTGGTTTATAATTCATTTTAGAAGCTAGTGGCTGGTGTATTACTGTTCTTTATCTTTCTCACTTGTGGAGATTTCACAGACTTTCATACTACTAGAAGAAAAATTATTGGTTATTGACTCAAGTATCCTGTAATGCCAGTGAGCTTGTTTTAATACAATTTTTATGTTCTCTCCAGGATCCTCTTCTACCAGCTTAGTACTCCTTATGCCTTTGGGTTTAGCCTAAAATAAAAATGCTTGATATGTCTTATCCTTCCCCCTAAATCACTGCAGCTGTAAACGAAATCTTACACATGGCACGGAGAAAACACATTGTGCTTTTGAAATCAGTGGGAGGTGGAGCTACGAGTCAATTTATACCACTCTTGTTACCTGCTTCTGTTAGTTGGAAATTAGTGGGCTCAAGGAATACCTGCGAGCTGAGAGGCATATAGACTGGACTATTATACATTTGCCTTTTATGAAGACAGATACAAATGGAATCATCACCCTGTTCACCTCTGGTAAGAGAAAATCAGCATGAAGGTTGGGAGGATCTGCATGGCTGTTTTGGTTGTGGTTCACCAAGAGCAAAGGTTTAGGAAATTTTGCACTTTAAATGTCAAAGGGATCTGTAGCACATGGATTTGTTAGGATGAATAGCACATGGACAAGCTTAGTGCACAAATATTAGGACCTCTTATTATTGCCATGTTGAATGTAAATGAAAACTGAAAACCAAGAATTGTTGAGTCGTAGGCTTCCGCATTGACCCTTCTCTAGGTTTCCCTTCCCCAGGATCAGTTCATGCAACCAAATCTGCATGGGAAGACCGGAGTCTGGAGGAGGCATCAAGGAAGACCATCCAGTGCTGCAGACAAGGTACTATCCCAAGGGCAACATCTGGGTTGTGGGGCAGGGCTGCTGGGCACACACTTGAGCGATCTCTGTGCTGCCTGGAGTCTTCTTCAGCCTTTTCCATTTCTCCCTAGGCTTAAAAGTTATGGGAGTTGTTATTTTTAATGGTTAGTTAAGGGAGCATTTGTTTCTTCCGTGAACATGTTCTCTAGAATGGAAAACATTCCCTCTGACTTCAGGCTTGGGAGGGTGAGAAACAAAATGAACTTATGGTTAAGATGCTGGACAAGGAACCAGGAGAGCTGGATTTTAGTCCTGACTTTGCAGTGACCTCATTACCTGACCTTATTTGCATTTCATAAAACCCAAAGTTTAGCTGGATTTCATAAGGGCAGTGATTTAATTACATTTTTGTGAAAGCTATCTTTGTCATATTTCTTACTACTCTCTGGAAAAGTGCATTAAAGCTGCTATTTAAGATGGAAAAATATTCTTTGCATTAATATGAAAATAGCTGGTGATTAAAGTATTTGTCTTCCTCTTTCCTGTGCTGTAGGGTAGATTTCATTAGTCGTATGCTAGTCCTTGGCTAAGTTAAACTTTTTTTCTCCTCATTGCTGTGCAGGCAGAAGTGCCTCACTTGTGCTGGCTCACTGTAAAAATTATAAGGATGAGAAATGTCCATAAAGCTGACCTGTGTAAGTATCACTGTATTCTTGGCACAATTCATTCCTTTCTCATGCCAAAACTGCTAGCAAGTTCATAGGTTATTTAGAAGGCCACCATAACCTCAACCCAATGCTCTTATAAGTGCTGCTGTCCTACAGCAGCATCTCAGGGTTCTAGGCTGAAGGAGTTGGCTGTTTGCTGTTTTTTAAATGATTTAGGCTCAATTATTCTGTTTTAGAAAACAATTTAAAATAACATCAACAAATTTTCTATATAGGGAAATAAGTCATCCTTCTTTTCACTGTTTCATATTTCCCATTCCCTAAATTTTTAAGGTCCATTTATCCAGAGTCTGTGCATTTTCCTTTTGAAAACATCATATTTGTGAAAGATACAAGAAAAAAAAATCAATGGCTGTGTTTGATACTGCTGCATTTGTCTCTACTGTTTGGCTCTGGATGACTGATCATTACAATTGCAATCGGGCTCCAAATGGATAAAAGAAATAATAAAAAACCTCCTGTTGTGATAATTACATACCTTTTTTGCTGATACAGTGACTCAAACCGATTGCTATGTGAAGCTATGGCTGCCAACAGCTTCATTTCAGGAAGCCCGGACAAGAACTGTGCGCAACTGCAAAAACCCTGTCTGGAACGAGACTTTCCGCTTTATTATACAGAGGGCAGTTAAGGTAAGGTTTACCCCAGGTGAGAAAGCTGAAGCTTCAGCTGTTGTGCTCCACCCTCAGCACTTGTGGTGCGAGCTGGGCTCTAGCAAGAGCATGCAAGTGGAGCAGTGCTGATGTTGGGGAGTCTTAGCTGCTGCACACCCAACTCTTTGAAGCACTACTGCAGCGGGGTTGCTTGACCTTCCTTCATCCTGATTTTTGCTCAGCAGGCTGAGTATTTTGCTGCTAGCCAATCCCAACACCTGCCTGAAAGATTTCTGTGCATTTTCCCAGTTTCCCCACTGGGGGAAGTTGCCAATACCCAGTTACAAATTACCAAATACCTGCTGTATGTTGATTAAATACTCTATGCTTTTTCCCACTGACTTTTTTTTTTTTCTGAAGGGGAAAAAACTCTTCCTTTCCCCCGTTGCCTCATCCCCCAGACAAGGCATCCCATGTAGGACATACAGTTCTCAAAGGCAAAAGAAACATTAGTGTGGGCAAGAGAATGAGCCTCAAAGTGGAGCTATGAAGTTTGAGGGCAACAGAAAGAGGGACAGATAGAGCAATAACTTGTAGCAGAGGGTTACAAACCTCCTGTCAGGGACTGACCTCTAGTGCTAACTTCTGCTGATATGCTGAAGTTTCTCAAGGTAGCAGTTTTGAAAGCACACTCAAATGTTCTTGATTAGGAGAATGTGTAATCTATTTAATCAAGTGCATGTTACCATCATGCCTGTTACTCATGTTACTTAGAGGGCTTTTTTGAGCTCTTACCATCAAATCTTCTGAGAACTACCCTTCTAGATCAGTACTTGACTTTCTAGTCTGGATGGGAGAACTTAACCTAAGCTAAGACCTGCTGAAGTAGTCTGGGCAACTGCACTCTTGCCTGCCAGCACTGAACCACACCTGGGCTGCATCTGAGCTAATTTTGGTGCTCTCCAGCCCTAGTTTTTGGATTTTGCATCCTTTGCTGACTCTCTTCTCAGAATAATCTGGAGCTGACAGTCTGTGATGAAGATACTTTCACACCAAATGACCAGCTTTTGACCGTTTGCTTTGATGTAGCTAAAATCCAGCCTGGAGAAAAAGTTTGCCTGGTTTTTGAATTGAATCCAGAGGTAAGAAATAAAAAAGACAAGAAAAAAATAGTTAGATAAGTAAAATAATACTACTGGTCAGAATTTTCTCCAAAGGTAGTATCCATGTTAAACACGGTACTTGTCCACTAGGACTATATTTAGAATAAGCTTATTAAAGATACGAAGTTAAATGCTCAGGTCTTGGGAGTAGCCAGAAGTAGTCACTTCTGTATTGTGTTTGGAGAAAGATGCAAAAAGAATTTCTACCTGCTCTTTTTTTAATTAAATTAATGGAAGTTTGTCCTTAAAAACAACACAAAACCTGTACTCAGATTACTTTCTTGAAAATTTAACACATTCTCTCTTTAAAGGCTGTAGATAGTAATATGACTTCAGATCTTTTCCATAATTCTGTTCTCCTGTTAATGCTTAACAGAAGAACATTTACTATTCTTAGGAGTTGCATATTTTCAGTTACTCTCTAGACCAATCTGTCAGATAGGCTGTCTGAAAAAATTATTGCCTCTTCTTTATATTTTTACAGCTTTGGAAAGAGAGCGTCTACTAATCGCTCCGCTAGAAAGCTAGTCCTTCCTTTACTAAGATTTTTCAGTATTCCTGCTCAGGCTGCCTGTGGCCTTGCCCAGGTGGGCATCACGTGACTGAGAGCACTTGAAGCCATCAAGCCATGAGCTGGCTCTGAGCTAGGTGTGCCCAACATGGACTTGCCCTGGGCTGCACAACCTTAATAATAGGCAGCGTTGCCACCATTGCCCATAATCACCATTTTCATCTGCTCGGGTATCTCAAAAGGAGGGGTGAGGAAGGGGAATTGGTAATGAGAGCTTGCTTCTTGCCATCCCTGTTGCCTGATGCATGGTCTAACAATTCTTTCTTCTGATTTGCTCCAGTCTTTCAGTCCCAAAAAAGAACTACCACCACCACCACCAAAAAACAAACAAACAAACAAAAAAACAACAACCCCCCCAAAAAAAACCCAGAACTTAAACAAACAAAAAATTATCTGTGTGTACACCAGAATAAAGAGGATGGGAGCATAATATCTGTCACATGGTGCCTATCTCATAGGTCAAGGTCTACGAAACATTTTTTGCTGCTATTTTGATAAAGCTGAAAGATTGATGAGTCTGGATAGCACAGATTTGTCAGGATCTAACATTAGATGAAATCCTCATTGCAGCTGTGTAAGGAGACTGCTTCTAAAATCCATCTCTACAAAAGTGCCTTGCTAAGGGGCACAAATTGTGGTCACTGCTCTTTCTCATAAAATAGAAGCTTTGGGGACAACCAGCAGGCAGCACAACTAGCTGCTTTAGTTCTCAAAGAAGTCACCTATGATTTCACATTTCTTGAGCTGAGCTAGTAAATACAAAAATACTCACTATCAGCTTTGCTTTAGTCATATTGTCAGATATAGCTCAGTTTTCACAGTCTCTTCACATTAACTTCACATGCTGTGCAGCCAAACTGAAAGGATGTTGGGCTGTAAAGGTTCATTTCTTGATATGAACAAAAAAGCTTTCCATGTGAAGCTTGTCAGAAAGAAACAACGATATCTTCTACTACTAAGTACTAAGTACTGTTTTCCTCCCTGTGGGCAATGTAGGAGATATCCATGATATGTGGTTTTGGGTATGGTATTTCCTAAGCTGGTTGTGTTCCGCTTTGGAACCCAAGAGCTAGGAAATATCTGCAGTGAAGTAATTCAGAGAGTTATTCATTGCCTCTCGCATGCTATTTCCAGTTTTTCTCAAGCATGTTTCTCTGTCTACCTATTTATCCCTCTCTTTCTCTGTGTTCGTTGAGTTATGTCTCATCTCTACAATATATGAACAACAGGATTTTGCATCTTCTCCATGATGTTTTCCTTTGCTCCTTGAGGTGACAACTGAGTGTGTGTAAATGACAGAGCAATGTGGAGGTATTACACAAAATGGTGGCTAAAAAAAGCTCTTTTCATTTTAGATTATGTTGCAAAGAAAATAGGAATGGCAAAATTTTGTGGGAGAGGATTATATATATAAAAAAAGAGTTCCATCAAAGGCAAAAACTTACCTATTTATTTTCCTTTAAAAAAAAAAATCTGATTTTCAGAATCAGGAAGAGCTGGAAGTGGAATTTTTACTGGAAAACATGTGAGTAAAACCTAAATGTTCTAGAATTTTTCATCCAAAAGGTTTTCATTTTAGAGAATGATAATACAGCATTAGGGAGGTGTCTGCATGTACCTAGCCTCAGATAGCCCCTTCTTTTCTCTTCCCCTTGTTCCTTTTCCATCATGAATCTGGTGAATTCCCTTATAGAGATGAAAGTTACTGTTGCAGCTACTGCAATAGTTCCAGTTCCGGTTACTCTTTATAGCTGCAGGTGGATGTTCCTTTTATACCTCAGCCTTGGCAGAGGTGCTGCTCATCAGGGGAGCTGAGGAGGCAGGAGCATCTCTAGGAGTCTTGGGGCTGTGGTGCAGCCCTGAGCACAAGGCTGAGGTCAAAGATGGAAGTGCTAATGGCACCTGGCATATAGAAAAACTGAGCTCAGGGAAGCTAAATATCAAGCAAATGCTACAAATCTGATTAATGATTGAAAAGATAATCCATCATGTACCAGCCCTTTAATCAGGCCTTTTTCTTTTTTGCTTTTCAGTCCAGATGTATCTGAAAACATCATTACTAATGGCGTACTAGTGGTAATCATTTTATTTCCTTTGCTTATGTTCTTGCAGTACAGAAGAATTGAGGGATATCCCTTAGGCATAGCCATTACTTCTTTTGAGATAAGGCACAAGTGTGACTTGAAACCTTTGAACTTGTTCATGTTTGTAGCCCATGTGGTGTTGGGAGAGCTTTGGGTTAGTGCTCTGCACGGTGTCAGTGAGCTGCCACTGATGAAAGGCCAGGAAACAAGGAAAAGAAGGAAATGCAGAAGTCAGTATATCTAGTGTCACTGCAGATTTATTACTAAGGAAAGCAAGAATATCAGTCTTAGAGCTGAATGCTCTTTTCCCACCATCTCCAAAGTGCTGTACGACGCCCCTTTTCCTCCTTTGTGCATTGCTGCTCTTGAGAAGTTTCATCTTCAGCCTGCAGGCCTTAAAATACAGGGCCGTCTGTTGTTCCACAGAACTCACAAGTATCCCTCAGCTCACTCTGCTGTAGATAAAGGTTAAAACATGGGCTAGAAGGGGGAAAAAACCTTCTGTTTATTGCTGGGGATTTAATTATATTTAAATGTTAAAGGTCATATCTGCCATTGACCAGAATAGTTCTTCCAGCTTTATGGAAGCTGAGAATCAGACTCCCCCATTTACCTCATTTTCACAGGACATCATGGCCAAGCCTGGGGCATCCACAGGACCTCTATATCTGCCATGAGGATCCTGAACTTCCCTGGGAGCAGTGACCAATGATTTTATTGCTTCTCTCTTCCAGTCTCGAGAAGTTTCCTGTGTGGAAGTACAGGTGGATGCAATTGAAACAAAGAACCTTTTCACAAGTGAGGTTATTGATTTAAATGATTTGTCACTATTTTGTATGCTATGAAAGATGCAGCTGACTGTAGAACATATGTGATCCCTTTTATTTTCTTCATATATTTACACTGGGAAACAGAAGTCCTGGTCTGAATTTGTGTTGACTGCCTTAAGCGGGAAACTTGGCTCAGGAATTTTTTGTTGTTATTTTCCAGTATCAGATTTTTCTGTGCTTTGCTTCTTGTCTTTAGAGAGAGATTTCACTTTCACAGTGAAAGGATCCTATGAAGGAAGGCAAGATGTTTCCTTGCGTCCTGATTCCAGCCAGCAATGCAGCAATACAGCCCTGTTCCACTACGTCAAGCACAGTCAACCCTGCCTGGAGATGATGCTGCCTGAAAACAACTTTGTGTGTGGTGTATGTCTTTGCATAGAGGCAGTGCTAACAGCTCAAGTAACTTGTGGGAAGCATCATGAATTAGCCCTTATCTGATAGATTTGTACCTATGTGCTGTAAACCATCTTATAACAATCCTCTTTTGCTTTAATTTAGCATAGATTTGGTAAAACGGAAGGGGACGTAAGTAGTCCCCTGGTTGTGTCTCTGAACTCCGTGGACTTGCAAGAAAAAGTAACAATAGCAAGGGTGAGTAGCCTTGGAAATTATTTAAATGGTAACTGTATCTGTGTGATGATATCTGGCTTCTTATTAAACATATACTTGCTGAGCTTGCTTAGTTCTTCTGATATTTGAAAATACAATTAGTGTTCAAGGAAAGAGTAGTACATTCAGAATTGCTGTTTTTTTAAAGATATATTTAAAAAAACAAATGTAGTGATTATTATGTGCAAAAGGCCTGAGGATAGATCAAAGATATATTAGTATAGATCAGAATATTTGCTAATACTGTAAAAAAAAAAAAAAAAAAAAAAAAAAAAAAGGTCTCTACGGACTTTCAACTTCACTTTAAAATTGATGGTGTTTTTACTCTTGATTTTCAGGGTGAATCTTATGATGTGCATGTGAGGGAAGAAGATGGGTAATTTTTTTTATTTCTTTTGAATGAATACTTAGGCCGGCTCCTATCCTTTCCTAGTGTGTTGAAAGGGTTAAGATTTAATAGATGAAAGGTTTACAGCTTAAACTAGCTCATTATGTAAGATGATGGAATAAAAGTTAAAAGTGATTTAACAGATTAAAATATTGCAAAATTTGATAGATGATTGATATACTTTTGAATGAGTTCTTAGTTCAGTATAGGATAGGTGGTGGGTTATCATGGTATATAACACTGAAAATACTTCCCAGGGTTGCTGCTAAGAATTGCTCTGATAAGTAACCTTTATCTATAATTCCTATGGATTTTTGTGTAATGCATTTGTATCAGGCTTTTGACATCAGTGATCATTTGTCAGTCCTCTGCAGGTCATTTCCAATGAAACAGCAGGACACTCACGCACGGGATGACAAGCCGGGTTTTCTCTAAGGGCAACATTACCCTCTAGCGATTAATTAGCTCCACTGCAAGCAGCCATTGTTGGTGGAGGTGGTAAATGAGCCCTCCCCAGGAGTAGCCCTAGTAACTCAAGTTTTTCAAATTGCTGATGCGCAAGAAGTTTGCAATCGTGTAAGATATGAAGGCAAACATCTAAGAGACCTTTTCTGACTCACGTATTTGCAATGCGAGTTCCCAGCAGAGAACTGGTTTGTACTGAAGTTTCAGTAATTGCTTAGACTGTTGAGGCTGTTCAGCAAACACTTACACAGGAAGATATTGCTAAGAGGTGCCCAGATCTGCGGGCTCAGAATGATGCAGTTTTGAATTTAGTTATTATCTCTTGTTTTTCACCAGCTGAGGCTTTGATTCATTGCATTTCCTAATGACTACATGAAATAATTCAGGACACATTTCTGACATCTCTGCAGGAAGGTAGAAATACAGGACCTGTGATGGCTATGCACATGTTCTCATTTGCGACAAATTGTTGCATGTATGGAAACAGCCTTTCTGCAGCTTGGTTTATTGTGGCTGAGTTTGGCTGGTGTCTCAAGCAATAGCTGTAGAAATGGCTTGCAGCTAACGTTTATCCTGTATTCTGGCTCTACGCTCTAGATATAAGGACTTGGATTTACGCTTGGGGTTTGATCTATGTGCAGAGGAGAAGGATTTCATCTGTAAAAGGAAGAAAGTTGTTGCTGCTGCTCTGAAAGAAGTTCTTCAGCTAGATGAAGGCTTGCAGGAGGATGAGGTGTGTGCGTCAGCCTTTGGCATTTGAAATATTCCATCCTACTTTGAATTTTGAATTTTGAATTTTGAAGTGGGTGCAATATACTCGCATGTCTGCCCATATTTCTCTTCTACATCTTTTTGACTAAAATATACAGACCAGATTCTCACCTGTCTTGTCTCACCTCAACTTTTGGCATGGAGGGTGAAAGAGGAGCTCTCACGAGGTCTGTTACCCTCATTCTCTGCCAGTCCCTGGCACGAGTTGAAGCAGCCTGGTGCAGGACGTGAGCATGGTGAGAGCTCAGTGTGCAGGGGCTGCTGCAGTGGGAAGGGGGGAAGCGCCCTTGGCTCGCTGCAGTCACGGAGCACCCTTAATGGAGGGGCTGCTCTTGGGGCTTCCTGGATGCTCTCGTCACAGGAAGGCTCATGGTGAGGAATCGCTAATGCTCAGAAACCTGGGCAGTCAAGTCAGCGAGATCAAGCACTTGTGGACTTAGATGCTGAGTAGGATAGGACTTCATTTTTTTCATCTCTGACTAAATAAAAATGTCTAGAACTTGTACTGGAATAGAAGAATAGGCTCCAAAGTTAACTGGAAAAGAAAAAGTGGGAGCAAGGGAAGGAACAAAAAAGTCTGTCAGGGTGGAGGTCAGAAAACACAGGCTTTAACTGGGGATTGCTGCAGGTGACTCTGAGGTGGATCCTCAGAGAAAGATAAAAGGGTTATGGAGCCATATGAATAATAATATAATAATAAATCTAAACCAACAACAAACCCAAAAGCAAGGAGAGATGGTGAAATGCAGTGAAGCTGAAATTAAAGGTAATAGCATGATACACCAAACATGATTCAATTTCTTTCAACCGAAACACCTACCTAAGTGCTCACATAAATGGGGTGAATTGAGTCCAAACCCCTCAGGTATTTAATGTTACTTTTTCTGAGTCCCAGTCACTTATTTCCTCTGTTAATGCACAACTCTGCCTTTGTGTCCTGGCCAGGTGCCCGTGGTGGCAGTTGTCACCACAGCGGGGGGCATGCGGTCCATGACATCGATGTTTGGCAGCCTTTTGGCTCTCCAGGAGCTGGGTGTTTTGGACTGTGTTTCGTACCTCAGTGGTTTATCTGCCACAACATGGTAAGGAAAGTTGGGCTCCTGTTTGCTAGTTCATGGGAGCAGAGCAGAGCTCCCTGCCTGAGGGATGGCTACAGATGAATTGTGAGAGCTGCTGTAAGGATAACTGTGAGGGCCCTGCAGCCTTTACAGGAAAGGAAAGAAGAGAATAGCAAGCCTGAGTCACTATCAATATTGTCCTGCAATTCTATATTGTTGACAATCTCATCTGTAGTTATTGTGTGGCTTGGTTATATGCCTCTCTATAGTGACATATGTTTTACATTCTCTTGGGGGCTGTATTTATAAAATCAGTGCTTGGCACAGAGAATGGTGGGCAAATGTTTTTCTTTTTTTTTCTTTTTTTCTTTTTTTTTTTCTTGATGAAGCTGCTGGAGTAACTATCTTCAGACAAAAGCTACCGCTTGAAGCAGGGCAATCAAAGGATAATTTTAATTAAAAATGTGCTAGGTTTTGGGTAGCTCTTTATTGCTGTTTTTTAAAATTTTGAAAAGAAACAAGATTTTGAATGTTTTCACGCAGGAAAACATTGTTGTGCAATCTAAATTCTGACTGAAGCTTTGAACAGCTCTCCCAGTGTGAAAGTTGGAGGGAGGCAGCCTCATGTAACTTGAAGCAAAGCTATTTAAATGTGTCTCACAACCCCATGAATTTGCACAAACTTCAATCCTGAACAACAGATTCTGTTTTTATCAGGACCATGGCAAAGTTATATGAAGACGCAAACTGGTCACAGAAGGATCTCAAAGGGACAATTGATGATATCAGGAGACACGTGAGCAGAAGCAAGCTGCACTATTTCTCACTGGATTATCTCAAGTACTATGAAAAGGAGATTTGTGAAAGAAAGCAAGAGGGACACAAAGTGTCTTTTACCGATCTGTGGGGACTCTTCGTTGACTCTATGTTACATAATGAGGTATTGTATATACATCCCTTTTTTCAGAGAAATTCTGATTTTTTTTTACCTATAAAATTCTGGATTCAGTTATGAGGAAAGGCCCAGTTGATATTAATACATGCTTTTGAATTAAAATATGTTTTTAGTTTGCCTGGAGATGCCTATACATATATGTGTCTTTGTTCTTCATAAACAGGAAAATACTCATAAACTCTCTGATCAGCAACTGGCACTGAATCAGGGGCAGAATCCACTGCCTATATACCTGTCCCTCAATGTCAGAGATGACTTTAGCACTCTGGATTTTAAAGGTAATGATTTTTGTGTATGTTTTTGTACATATAAGAAGTTTCTTTTTAGGGTTGGATTAAACTTCTTTTAATTATCTAAGATTCTTAAATATCATAAGCTTCTTTTAAAAGCTTTCTTTTAAATAATTTATTTCTTTTATTTCTCTATCTTAACATCTGGGTTCTGACTTGAAGGAAAAACAAGAGTCCAAATATTATGAGAGGTTTTCCTGTGTGAAGAAGCTGCCCTGCTGCTTGTGGCCTTAAGATCACTGCTGCTGCTGCTCTTTCTTCCTCCTCTCCAGTTGCTCCATGTGGCCTCTTTCACCTCCTTGTCTTGTTGCTCAAGGCAGCAGTATCCAAGAAAGCCATGAAGAGTGGCACAAAGAGTGGGCAAGAAGCAGGGAGAAAGGGAAGAAGTGTGTGGGGGAATGATGATAGGCAGCAGCTATGAGCACCCAAGAGAGGTTTGAGAACCAGCAGTGTTATGAGGAGCCTGCCAGTTGTTGACCTTTTCTGTAGTATCATCTGGCCAAAACAGAACAGAATCTGCTCCTCTGCTTCCAGACTTGCAATCCAGTGTGTTCCCCCAGCATTTGGGAAGGTGTTTTTTCAGTATATACAAGTCTTTTGGGATTCACAAGGCAACAGTTACCAGCCTGAACAGTAGCTGGTGTTGCTGATGCTGAGCATTAACAATACCACAACTCGAGTTGGGCCTTAATCACCTTTCAGCCTTAGTTTGGACTTTCAGCCTTAGTTTGGACTTTCAGCCTTAGTTTTTCCTTCTTACTGCTGAGTTGGATCTGAGCCCCGGGCTGAATGGTGTTTCTCAGGGCCATTGGAGGAGGTATAGTTAGCTTTTTGCCACACAACAGGGCACTTACTCTTTTCAAAATACGATTGTCTGTCACCAGCATGCTGAAGCAGCAGTTCTTATTCTGCTAGTTTTTGATTCTCAGATACTCTGAGCTTTTGACTTGTGTTCAAGTAGCTGCAGTAAGTCCTTGTTTTTGATGCTTTCTTTGCAGAGTGGGTGGAGTTCACACCGTTCGAGGTGGGTTTCCTGAAGTACGGAGCCTCCGTTCGGTCAGAGGATTTCGGTAGCGAGTTCTTCATGGGCCGCCTGATGAAGAAGATCCCAGAATCCAGGATCTGCTTTTTGGAAGGTGATTTATTTTCCTCAAAAAACCTCAACTTTGTAAACAGGTAGTTGACTACGAAGAGTGATCTTCTAATAGCTGCTGGTCTGCAAGTAGAAACAATGGAACTGGATAACTTGTCTGATTCAAGTTAAATCTCAAATATCCTAAAGTAGCAAAATGAATTTTAAAGGAGGCAAATTCCTAGGACAGATGCAATTAATTTGCTGGACTTCTTAAATTCTACTAAAACAGAACACAGTTAAAACCAGCTTTTGAAGTATTTATAATCAGCAGCTGACTTTATAAACTCCAAATGGTATTTTATTTGGTATTGATGCTCCAATTCTTAAAATAGCGTAAGTAAGAATAAGATTGGATGAGTATGGAGTTATGTGTAACTCCAGACACTGTGTAACACTTGGTCATAGTGAGGCTGACCAAGTCCAACTCCAGAGCTATGCTCTAAAAGTGCCTAGTAGTTTTAAATAGAGTGTGTGTGTGTGTTTTTAGTTATTATTATTATTATTTTTATATTTCCAGGCACATGGAGTAATATATTTGCTTACAGTTTTATGGATGCTGTCCACCTGTCGGGTCATTCAGAGGACTTCTGGCACAGGTGGACCCGGGACACTGAGCATGACATTGGTTAGTTATTTGGATTGCTTTACGTTTGCATCTGCCTTACACACACCTCCGAAATGCAAAGCCAGTTGGAGGGCATTTGATTTTGTATCTGGTTTCTGTCTCTGGCCAAGTCCTTGTGAGTGAAGGAAAAGCAGGGAAAAAAAAAGTACTGCTCTCCATACCAAATCCCTGGGGAGTTTTGTGCATGGCAGGAGGGTCATCAGGAGCCCTGTAGGGATGGAGTCACAGGATGCTGCTGTTAGACAAAGCCCTCCCGACCCCTACAAGCACAGCCAGCACAGCGGGCACGTGCTGCTTGTGGGTGTCACCCTCAGAGCATCTCCCGGGTGCAGGTTCCCCTCTGCTGTGAGTTCCACGAGCTGTGGCAGTCTGCTGGGTGCAGGGTGAAACCTTTCAGTTCTTCATCGGAGTTCTTTGTTGCTGGAATGGATTTGCTGAGCTTGTTAATCAGTACCTGCTTTAATTACCAAATATAGTGCTCAGGGATATCCTTGATGGGAGACAATCAGAAATTCAGAATTACTCTTCATTATGTTTAGTATTGGAGAGATGCTCTAAATAGCTGCAGATACAAACCCTCTTCTCATCCTCTCCACAGAGGAGCGACCTGCTCTGCCCAAAAGGTCCCATGAACAGATGACTTCCTTATCCATTCCCAAAGGTCGTCTTTCCAATACTCTCCGAGACTTGATGACAGGGAGGCCAGTGGTTTCAAACTATCATAATTTCCTCAAGGGCTTGCAGCTACATAATGAATACTTGGAAAATGATCGCTTCTGCATGTGGAAAGGTAAGGAGACCTTAAGACGTAAGGTATTTCAGATATATTTTGAAGGTGACTTGAGGGCTGATGCAAGCTGAGGCTAAATAGTAGATAAGATTTACTACTAAGGCAATTTTTTACTGAAGCTGTTATAAGCAGTTAAGTAATTGTTCATGCCGGGAAGCTGCCTATGAAGTTGGTTTTGTTGTGACCTGTATGGTTTACTTCTGGTCTTGTTTTTGTTGTGAAAAAGCAAGCATTGCAGACTTGCTTCAACTCTGCTCTTCCCGGGAAAACTCACAAAAGAGCCCACAGCTCCTGCTGAAACTCAAATATTTAGCCACAAACAGATTTACACCAGTTGAAAAGGCATCTGAAATTATCATTTTGGATGAAGATAGCCTCAAAACTGCTCCCTTATACTGATCTCAGGGCTGACCTGTAGAGGCATGAGAAGACTAGTACAGAAAGAAAGTTGACAGCAATTACTTTCTTCCTTTCTTATGGTCATTTGAAAAGAAATGGACCTGTTCCTGCAGTCATTAATTACTGGTGTAAATTCTCTGACTTTCAGATACAATACTTGATTCTTCTCCAAGCCAGCTAAATGAAATGGATGACTACCTCAAGCTGGTAGATACAGCTTTCTTCATCAATACCAGCTGCCCACCTGTTTTGAGGCCAGAGAGGAAAGTGGATGTCATTTTGCATTTCAATTACAGCGGGGGATCACAGACCCTGGTAATGTTTTGTAGTAGTGATTCTTTGACTGCATTATCAGCAGCTGAATTATCATATTTCACTTTTCCAGAAAACGGTCTGATTTTTGTTCATATTGGTGATGCTATGCAACATTGTAAGTAAAATTGTTGCATTATCAGGGCTATTTTCCATGGCTTTCTGGAACACACTCAGGGCCACACATGAACACCCTCACGCACACACAAGTTTACCTATTCTGTGTATCTGTGGAGCTTTATGATTGTGATATCCAAGTTCCTTAATATTTCATTAAATAAGTTTTAAAAATGTAATTAATACATAATTTTGCATTTAATTTTTGCCTTTCTCTTCCATTTAGCTCTTTATGCTTACATAAGCCTCAGTCAGGTTTAGTGTTTTGCATGTTTGAAGAAACACTGAGGGGCTGTAAGATGGAAAATAGCATGATTTGTTTGCTGCAGGGTGTGAAAGACATTGATTTCTAGATACACTGAACAGAAATGCTCAATAACCTGTGGTCTGTGAGAAACTGCATTTAACCAAAATTTAATGATCCACATGATCTGCTGTCCCCCCTAATTTACAAAAATGTCCTGAATCTTATATGATTTTCGAATACAGTAATTTTGAAGTAGAAATATATCCTGTTAGGAAACAAACCACTAGTTCTGCACTCAGAAAGTTTCAAAAACACGGGGACAGGCTTGTTCCAGGGGATAAAAACCCGTATTTGGAAAACACATAAAATAAGCACACATTTGCTTAATGCAAAAAAATATCAGTAGTAGGCTTGGCTAGCTTTCTTTCAACCTCTCCTTGTGCTGCATCTCTGTTCTTCCCTGATCCAGCCTCTGGAGCAGTTCTCCGAGTACTGCTCGGAGCAGGGCATCCCGTTCCCCCGGACGGAGCTGAGCGAGGATGAGCGGGAGCACCTGAGGGAGTGCTACCTGTTTGAGGACAACTCGGAGGCACCGATCTTGCTCCATTTCCCACTGGTGTGTGACACCTTCCAAAAATACAAGGCACCTAGTAAGTTATGAGCATTAATCATTTTGTGAGATTGACAGGTAGCTTATCTATTAAATCCATCTCCCCTCTAAAATGAGGGACTAGCAAGCTTCTCAGTTGGCCGAGTTTCCATATTCACAGCCCTGATGTGTTGTTTGTCATATTGGCCAGCTAATCAGGGACTGAAGTAAAGAATTTCGAAATTAAACGCATGAACAGCTGTAACTAGATATAAAACTCATCCGAAGTCTGGGATCATTTCCTTTCTTTTGATAATCAAGGATAGGAGCACCTGAAAAGTTGCATTCACTGGTAGCTTATATTAGCACTCAGTGGTCCTTTATAATGAGGTATTGCATTTATGTTGTTAATAAACTAGTACTTTTGTATTTCTTTAAAATGAAATTGAAAGATCTTTCAAACAGAATGTGCAGAAAACATAAAAGGCTGCAAGTTGCTTTTTCTGTGGTGTTTTATTTTTCTTCCCCCAAAAGTTGCCAGTTTTCAGTTCAGCGATAAAATAAATTGTGATCCTTTTTTTCTCTAGGAAAAATTACATGGTCAATTCCGTTTGAATTTATAGATACTTTCAAATGACTGCACTCCCATTTTCTTGTTCCCAATTTAGTATAAGCCAGGAAAACTTACTCAAAAGCTGAACCAAATCCTATATACCACGCTATTGACAAGACCTCATGTAGTTTCATCATTTTTTCTTTTGACCAGTGGCATCTATTTAAAGTTCTGGAAATCTCAGCCACCTTAGAGCAAACTATCCCCTTCCAGGAGCTTCCTGATGTCATTCTTTACCAGCTGGTAGATAGGACCAGTCATCTCAATTTACCCAATGGAATGCTTAATCTTGAATCTAAAAAACTGGAGTATGCTCATGGAATTTCTATTTTTTGAGGGGAATGTATTTTCAAAGACAAAGTTCTTCTAATCAATTCTGTATCAAGGGCAATTGTGCCAAATTACTGAATTTTACTAGTGTGGCAGGTTTAGTGTCTACATTATAACTGTATCTTGAGCCATCTTCCTGAGAGATTTAACCTTCTTAGGGCTGCTACTTTTGTTCTCCGTTGCATGGTATGAGTCTCCCAGCTCAGTTACATTGTTATGAATTTCACTGTTTTTGCTTCAGATGTGGAACGCAGTCCCATGGAAAAGGATCAGGGGCAAGTGAATGTGTCCAGTTGTGCTTTTCCGTACGGCACTGGTCTACTTACATATACTGAAGAAAACTTCAACAAGCTGTTGAACTTGTGCTGCTACAACGTCCTGAACAATAAACACTTAATTCTTCAGGCTTTACGAACTGCAGTAGAACGAAAGAAGCTATATAAAAGCTGTTCATTACCTTGATCATCTAAACTCTGTTAAAATATATTTTGACTAATGCCATCAGAAGGAGATATGTGAAAGTTTTGATATCTGACTAACAGTTAGATAACCAGAAAACATGAATCCATACAAAATGAACATCATCATCAGCTTGTTAAATGGAGAAAATCATGTATTTTAGTAAGTACTGTGTGTTGTGATTAGTGCTGGTTCTGCCATTAAAGTCACTGGCAAATTGTGATTCATTTCATAAAATTCACTCTAGTGCTGCAGCCAGTGGGAATGCAGTGTTGCTGATACACAGCTGATACACAGCAATATACTGATGAGGTTTCAACCTGAGAAAAGTCCATGCCATGTTTGGATGCAGCTCCTAATTCTACTTGGTCTTTGCCCTGCAGTCCAAAGTAGCAATGAAATAAAGTCTTCTCTTATGTCTCTGCTTTTGACAGTAGCAGGTGCCAAAAGATACCCAACGATACTGGCACCTGGAAAAAGAGGACTGATAATTGAAGAATGTTGTTGTAGATAGTACTCTTGGTTTTGTCAGTGTTTCATTGAATTTACCTGTTTGCCCTTGAACTGAGTTTAAATTTTTTGATCGACTACTCCAGGATGATCAATATCTAAAGAATAGTTTGATTTTTTTTTTTTCTGTGAGCTGTTTCATAAAAAACATCTGGCTTCATCCACTTCTGCTGAATTTCTCTCTGGACTATCATCTACCAAATGGATTTTGAAATCAAGAAAACAGTTAAGACTTGGAATTATATGCTTACTGTTTTTGGAGAAACAGTTGTCTACCCTTTGGCTATAACCTTATCTTCAGTGATTAATCTGCATGTTAGATGGTCATGGTAACAAAACTTGTGATGCCAGCTCTATTCACTTCTGCAACGTCAGGATTATCTAAAATGGTGTAGGTGCTTCTACAGCTTTATTCCCACTATCTTCCAAGGCACAGTCAGGTGTGCTGAAGAGACTGTTTCACATCTGTTAGAGATAAAGGTCTGTTTAAGAAGATGCATGCAAGTGGTTAGTACAAGAACTTATGTCGTGTATAAATTGATACATGTACAGTGTAAGAGCTACTATTCAAATACTAAGTATCCATGCAAAATCTTATTAAAAAGTAGCAGTCTCTTAGATGCCATCATTGCAATGTGTTATTTTGTTAAGTTCCACAGTTTGCCTGCTGAGTTTATCTGGGAAGATACCTGTTTTTGAAAGCAGAGTGCATATGACTGGCATAACTGAGCTATTTACAAGTCTAAATGCCACTCTTGCAAATGCCATGGTATTTACGTACTAATACAGGTGGCAACCATTTGAAATTGTTTTGCTGGTGTGACTGGAATTCACTGTGCGCTTTATTTGTATTTTTATCAGTCCTTTCTGCTCCTTTGTTGCTATCTCATTTGTTACACTGATGTATGCTTAAAAAAATGCAGGCATCTCTCTGTTGCTCTCATTCATTCACTGAGATAGCGAAATCTTGTCCTTGCTCCCCTCACTTACTGGTGTCAGAAGGGAAATAGTCCCTGTCACCTAGTCTTGAAAACTCCTGTGTATTTAGTAGGAGATACCATCATGCTTTGTCACTTCTATGGCAGTTCTTTTTCTATGTATCTGTTCAAAATAACATATCCAAACTGACGTGCTGAGATAATTGCACCTGACAAGCTTTAGTGCAATATGAATGAAAAGAAAAATTGTCGCTGGCGGTAACCTGTGCCACTCTCTTCCTTACAGCATCAGGGTGGTCCTGGTCCTGTCCCACAACTCTTCCTCCCCTCCCTCCCCCACTTACTGATGAACATCTTATTTTTATTTTTTTCCTCCTCCCAACTCTGCCCCCTTAACCAGAATGCCAGCTTATTTCAGCTCCTTTTCTTGATCTTGCTCATAATTTGATGATCTGTCTCACCGGTGAGATGGCAGTAGTCTTCTGTGAGTGAAGTAGAAAAGGAAGATGTCATTTTAGCAGTTCAGTTATGTTTGTTCTTGTTTTAAAAAGACTTTTTTTTTTTTTTTAAGTGTTTAAGTGTTTATCTTTATTATTAAGTATTTTTTAAGTATTGGTTGCTGGTGGTTGCAACACATGGCACTGGGCCCTGAAGTTTACTCATGCAAGGTGTGGCGATGTATGTGTTTGGCAGTGGATGCTGAGAACTAAGATGGCTTCAGTGTGCTACAGAAAGGAGGGAGTTGTTTAAAAGAACGTGGGCCTGCTAAGTTAGCACCTGAAAATTTTCTTTGCTCAAATTGTCTAGCTAACATTAATATTTTGACTCAAAGGAAAGTCATGACAAATATCAGAGTTGGAGTAGTGTCTCCAAAGAGCCAATGTCGCACACAAGGATCATAGTGGCCCTGAGCGTTCTTCACAACGGACTCATTTGAATTCTTCTCTGGAGAATTAAAGGGATTTTTTCCTGTCTTATTAAAGTCAACATAAAAGTAGAGGTAAAGAGACATTTGTTCAAATGGCTTACCAACTACAAAGCAAAAAATACCAGAGGGAAGAAGTTTGGTATTAGCGATGCTATTTTATGTGGGAGGAGTTGCAGCAGGTAAATGTGGGCTGGATTTTCAAAATGATTTGGCAGTAGCATAACTGCTATTAAAGCTCAAGGTAGGTCAGCAACGATTTCTTTTTTTTGACAACGCTGGCTTGTGACCTGTCACACAAGCTCTGCCGAATGCGAGGGTGCTGCCCTGGCAGCAATTAGGTGTGCGTATAGTCGCAGGCAGGGCGCTCTCAAGTCTGTCTGTGGATGGAGTGTTACCCCCTTAATCACCTGGTGATGCGAGACAACCTCCTTGTATTCTGAGTGAGGCTGATTCAGTTCCCATTGCTATCAAGGCCCTTGATTTCTGTAAAAGTCCTAGGCTGGGCATCAGTGCCACATTTATGCTAAAGCAATTACTACAAAGACTTCCCTGACTAATTAGCTGGCACAGAAAGGTGTTGGCATTCCTCATGTCTATTGGCTGACTGGATTAAGGAAGAGAAAAGGTTACTTCAACAGTTTCTGAGCTGTTGAATGAACCAGGAAAGGTCAGGAGGCCTCAGGTCTGTAGGAGGCCTTCTGTAGGAGCAATGGAGATTTGGTCAGATTTGGTCAGACTACTCAGGGCCCAGGGAGTAAGAAATAATGGTCCCGAGCTTCTGCTTTTTGGGGGAAGAGTTAGATTTGAAATTCTTCTTGCAAGAAAAGAGAAGCTAGGAATGCATATATCGAGAGATGTTGGGCTAATACTTCACTGATGACTTTTGGATGGGAAAAAACACTGAGTCCTTTCCTGTGAGAGAGGAGGAGGAGGGAGATCTTTATCTCTTTAGCTTTTCAAAACACTTAGGGACATGTGAAATAAATTTAATCAGATTTCTCAATAGCTCTTTGAAGACAAAAGTCTTTCCTCATATGTGTCATAATCAGAATAGTACGTTATTGAAAAAGAAAGGAAAAAAAAGAAAAAGAAAAAAGAAAACAATCAAAAAATCCTGCCTCTATCCATACCTGTAATCTACCTCTCCAGTGACTGTGCAGTCTTGTACCTATCATTCTTCAGGGTTCAGATTGGAATTGAAAGTCTCCCCCTGACTTAGAAATGGCAGGAAAATGGGATAAAAAATTTCAGATTATTTTTTCTTCAATCTGTGCCCCTCCACTCCTTTTCTGGAATATTTTGTGAATTTGTTTATTTCAAGAAGTTCTTTTTGTTAAAGAAGAAAGAAAATGATATACAATACTAAAAAAATAAATATTTTGACTTAAACACTCATTTTTAATGCAGAATGCTTTATTTAGAGTAACGTTAATTTAAAAGTTATACTTAAATCTAAACTAGTTTCAGATGAAAAAAAGATTTTTTTTGCCTGACTTTTTTTTTTTAGATTTTTTTTTTTTAGGCAGCATCTCACCAAAATCATGTTTTCCTGTGCTTAGTGTAGCCCTCCTCTAATTTCCATTCAGGCACACCAATGACTGGAGGCCTTTTCCACTCATGCCTTAGGCCGTGATGCTGTAAATCCTAGTACTCTTGAGAGCTGATTTCTTCTGGCCAAAAGAGGACTTCCATCTCTGTACTTAAGGCTGGACATCTCCACAAAATTGCGTGCAACACCCTGACTTTATGCTTCCTGCCTGTTGGAACAGGAAACAGTGGGTGAATGGAGTGGTTTCTCTGGAGTCTTAATGCACACCCCTCCAAGGATGATTTTTTGTGGAGTCCTCATTTGTATTGTGTTCTATTAGTGATACCAAATGCCAAGGACATTGCAGAACTGTTGAATACTGAAGAAAAGATATTTTGAAGATACTGCATATATCAACATATTGCGTATATCAACGTGAAGCTAAAATGTCAGACGTGTTAATGTGAAAGGTAGATTTTAATAGGGGTGTTGTCTGAAATTAGTTGCTGGCTAAAGCATCGCTGGCCAAAGTATAATCCTTCTAGACTGAAGTGCGTTGTAACAGGGAAGGAGATGGTGCTTTTGTGCCATGACAAACGTTGTTTTGTGCAGAGTTTATTGAGCTTGGTTCCACTGTGTAACTGGAATTTGACCGCTTGCTCTCTTGTGTCATTGGCTGAAGTCCCTGTAGTTTTTGTAGCCTGCAGATTTTTATTTTATCTCATTTTAGTTAAGACTGAAAGAGACCTCAGGAGAGAGACCAAACATTCTTCCACTTGCATGACTAAAGTTGTGAATAAACCACATTTCTATTTACGTTTAAGGTGTTTTAATAATGACCAACTCTTGTCATCACAAAGGCAGTACCAGTGTGCTTTTTCTCTTGCAAGAATATGAAATCTCCCATTAGTCATACATTTATGAAATCCTGGATTATCGTAAGGTGACAAAATATTTAAGTAGTATATGAGGTAATTGTAGGATGCTGGATGCACATGTCATTGCTACCTGCAACCCATTGAACTTAGATATGCAGTTGTCTCTGTAGTATGCTGGGAAGGTAATACTTGCAAGAGGGTAGTTTAGATTAATTTTGACT